AACTGAGCAGTAGCCACCTAAGTGATTCCCCACCTTACTCCTCTGGATGCACTCCCCATTCCAAACCTTCCTGGCTCCTACATCCAGGTCAGTGTTCATAAGCGTTTGCTACCTGCCCTGATCTATGGAGGTGTCTTTAGGCAATGAAGCTCTGCATCCTTCACCAACATTAAAGGAACTGTATCCTGTGTTCATGTCTGGTGGCTTATTTACTTCAGTCACTAATGACCTTCAGATAGCATGGTCATTTAAAGTTCTCTTGCATTAGCATCCCAACTTTCCCAGCATCTGTTTCTAAAACTTTGTGTCAAAATCTTGTAATTTTCCATCTTTCTGCCTTTACTCAAATTGGTCCCTCCAGCTGAAATGCCCTTCCTGGGTTCTCAACTGTTAAAATCCAACCATCCTTTTATTTTTTGGATTAAAGTCCAATTCTACCTTCATTCAGTCTCCTCTGACTATCTCAGCCAGAATGAGTTTTACTTTCTCTAATGTCCTATAGAAATAGGTCTGCCCCTCTCTCTTAATTCTAGAGATCAGTACATCAAACAGTTTGGTGGTGAAAACTACACAGGGATCTCTTCAATGACATTTAAGGTAGCTGATGTGTAGGGTCCCTGAAATTCCAGCACGGGGCCATTCACTGTCCATGACTTTCCTTGGAGAGCCATCCCTCCCACATTCTTACTTCATGTTGAATGCTAATTGCATTCTGAGTTCCAGGGAATATGCTATGAACCAGTCCTGATCAGTTAAGTCATCTCTTAAAGCCCGGTTGCAGCAATTGTTTCTAGACTGGGCATACAATCCAGTCAAAACCAACCAGGAGAGAAGAGCTTTCTTTACTCTGGAATGCATAAACACCTGAATATGCTAGAACTCACCACATGGAAAGAGCCTGCCACTGAATAAACCAACACAAAGAAAAGCAGGGTCAAAAAATGGGGAGAGACCAATTCCTGACAATAGTGTTGAAGCCCCTGGATCCAGCCATACCTGAACTCTACACTTGAACTTTTCATTATTTGAGTCAATAAATTTCTCTTCTTGCCCAAGCCAACTTTAAGTTGGGTTTTCTGCCACTTGTAATTACATGAACCCTGATCCATTTGATCTACCTACATAGGATGTAAAGAAGGATCCAGGTCAATCCCTTGGAGATGAGCTGTATAATAAAGTTGTATATAATGAGCTGTACACTGCATCCCTCAGTGCTCATTGGGGCAGGTGCATAATATTACAAGAGGGCAAGTGCTCCCAAGGCAAAGATGGAGAGGTGACATCCAAGGATGGACATCTCCTGAATAAGAGTGAGGGTCACAGGGATACAGTGAGTCTTCCCACCTATATTTTCATCAGTCCACCCCCATTGAACAATGAGGATCATGACAGTGTTTAAATGCTACCCCCTCAGAGAGGGCTACCTGACTCCTCTATCTCATGTAGCTTCTCTCTGTACTATTTCTATGAGCCCTTGCCCATTTTCTGCTTATCATTTACCACAATCAATTAAAGTTTTTCACTGTGATTGCTCACTATTTTGTTGGCATCACAAAGTAAAATCTCCCAAGACACCCACCGTATCCAACTAATTCACTATTGTACCCCCCAGCACTTCGTTCAATGGCTGACGCAGAGTAGAAGTTCAATAAGTAGTTTTTGAATGAATGAACGTCTGAGTGAATGATCTACAGACGTTATAGGCAATATGGACTCTTTTGAAATGGCACAAGACTGCTGCCTTTGCATGACAGGTGGTAGCTTCAGGAGACTTCCCACGTTTCTGAAAATCAGACTGGTCAGTGTCTTCATGAAGTTGCCCTCAATGACTACAAAGTCCCCAAGTTCCACAGGGGAATTCATTAACACACATTCAGACTTAAATGTCTTCAGGAATGTGTATCCATAATAATAATATCTAATATTTATTGAATGTTTATGTATGCCAGCACTTTATATATACCATCCAATCTCATTCTCACAACCACCCCATGAAGAGAGTATTAATATTATCCCTATTTTGCAGATGAGGAAACTGAGGCACAGACAGGTTGAATAATTATGCCAAGGTTACACAGCTAGTAAATAATGGTTCTAGGATTGAAACTCAGGCAGTCTGACCCTAGAGCCTGTACTCTTAGCCAGTGAATATGTTTGGATATGGAGAAAAGATGGAGATTCAAGTTAGCTTTTGAACTTTTCTTATTAAGTCCTCATGATCAGGTTTCACTAGTTGATTCATACCAATATGTGCTCCCAAACTATCAGGTCTGCCCATTTTAAAATGAAAGTGCAAAAATACAATTCAAATAAAATTACTTTGGAGATGCAGTATTAAATTGTCCTTGTCACTGAAACCTGGAAAATGCAAGAGCTCAGCCTGCAAGGTGATAAGCCAAAATATATTTACTTGAACGCTGGACAAGTGTATCTGTAATGACTTCAAGACAATTAATACTAACATTTTTAGGAAATATTAACCACTGAAAAATGAATAGCTATAAGATTTCGATCTCTCTGTTCATGCTTCTGGCTTCTCTAATAGTTATTTTTCCTTATATTGGTTTTTAAACTGAACTATCTGTTAATGTAGTTCTGCCGGGTCTGACTATTAATCTAGAAACACGCACTTAAAGGTTTGATTGGGAGCTAAAGTCAAGGAATTGACTGCAAATGATATATGCAAATGTTAGGTTTTCATATCCTCTTCAAACATATTGATAAATCTCACTGCCATCCACGGGAATTAAAATTGTTGCAAAGGGAAAGAGAGACTCTAGTTTCCACTTTGGATGTATTTTTCTGTTTTCTCCCAGACTGCAAATAGAATAATTTTAATATTGAAAGTATAATGTGGCACTTCTCAAACCAGTCAACACCAGTTTTAGAGTCACAGAACTGTGGGATTATAGTGTATCAAAATGGAAGAAACCTCCAATTGCTGGGTCTAATCCTCCCATCTTGCAAATGAGGAAACTCTTAAAGTGCCAGGGAGTTTAATGTAGTAATGATGGTGATGATGGTGACGGTTACAGTGATGATGGTGATGGTGATGGTGGTGATGATGGTGATGATGATAGTGATGGTGATGATGGTGATAATGGTGATGACGGTGATGTTGGTGATGGTGATGTTTCATTGACAACAATGAAAACAACTTTTATTGAGTACTATGTATCAGGCATTTTTCAAAATGTTTTACATATATTAACTCATTTAACCTTATGGCCAGGATTTCCATGAGGTCCAACTCAGGGAGACCCAGTTCACACTGTATTCTATTTGAATAGTGTCACTCAGAGTTATGTGACATGCAGATCCTGATTATAAAAAGCTCATGAGAGTAAGGGATATGCTTTGGTGTTGCCTTCCCAGCATCCATTCTTCTACAGTCACATTTTTCCTTTGGTGAACCACCCTGTATTCACTTCCTCTTGCTACTGTAATAAATTACCACAAACTTAGTGGCTTGAAAAACAACACAGATTTCTGTCTTATGGTTCTAAGGAGGTTGTAGGTCCTAAAATGGGTCAGCAGAGTGGTTCCTTCTGGAGCTCATCTCCTGGCCTTTTTCTGCTGCTGGAGACCACCTGTATCCCTTGACTCAGTCCCATCGTCTGTCTTCAAAGCCAGAAGCACAGCACCTCCAAATATCTCTGCATATCCTGCCACTTCCACTGGCATGTTGCCTTCTATGTCTGTGGCTCTCCCATCTCCCTCTCATAAGGACCCATGTGCTTACCCTGAGCCCACCTGGATAACCTCCCCATCTCAAGATCCTTAATCGCATCTGCAAAGTTCCTTTTGCCACAGGAGGTAACTCATTCACAGGTTCCAGGGACGTGATGTGGACATCTTCGGGGTCCTTTACGCAGCCTCCCAGACACCCATTCCTCACTCTCAGTTCATAAGGTCATGAGGAGATGGACTCCCCTCCCTGAGGCATGCCTGGCCACCAACGCATTCTACTCCTGCCTACTGTTCAGGGTGGGCAATTACACGACTCGAGTCAATGCTGGGAGATTTTAAAAAATTAGTGATAAAGAGGCACTTTTTTATGGGGTTGCTGATTAGATAACATGTCAGCCAAGAACTGAAAATGACCACTGAGAGAGGGCTGCCTGAGAATGAAGATATCACACAGCCCCTTCCTAGCAATACAGTTGATTAACTTTCCTCCCAACTGCAACAGTTCAGTTCTGGAGAAAACTTTTTAGTCCATTAAGTTCTAACACAGGAATCACCCTCCCACCACAAACAACAAGGAAACAGAACAAAACATACAAAATAACTGTATTCAGACACTGGATGACAGGGAGCACAGGACTATAATCCTAAGAGAAGGAAAACAAATAAGATGAGCCCTCAAAATGCCCTTGCTTACTGCCCAGAGCAGGAATGGGAATCCAAAAAGCCAGGGGTCCAGCTGAGTTGAGGATAGAGAGAGTCAGGATTAGAGAGGCCAGGACACCCATCATTTGTGAAGCAAAATACTAGAGAGTAAGAAGCTACCCAGAAAGGAAGCCACAGAAATCTGCAGCGTGGTCTTCTCAAGTCTGGCTGAATACTGATCTGCACATGCCTAGTGGTGAAACTCCACATAAATATCAGAAAGAGGCACCAGAAAGCAGTAGATTGAACGATACTCAGAGCTCATGTGGAACTGTAAAGAGTTCATATTTTCACCAGCCAGAGGTCTCAAAATACACAGAGCATTAAGTAGAGTCCTCAGAAGAATTATGTCTTAATAATGGGGATAAATTAACCACAAAATAAAGGTCAGTCTGGACTCACCCTAATAAAGCTCAACAGGAAGCCTCAAAAGGATCAAACTGATGAGAAGGTAATTTAAATGTATGCCAGAACAAAACCCAATACTCTTCAAAGGAGTCCAACTAAATCAAGTACTCAAAAATGTAAAATTCACAATTTTATACTCAAAATTACCAAACTTGCAAATATGAAAATATGCCCTGTAACTAGGAGAAAAATTAGTCCATAGAAACAGACCCAGAAATGACAGTGATGATGGACCTAGCAGCAAAGGGTTTAAAGCAGCTATTATAAATTCTCTAAGTAGGTTCAAGAATATAAAAGAGAATATACACAGGATTAAGGCAAAAATGAAACATTTCCAAGATCCAGCAACATCTACCTACCTGTCCTGGGGTCCATTCTGTCTGCTGGCTTAAGGAAGCCACAGTGTCAATGGAGCTGAGGTCCAGCTGCTCCAGCTCACTCTCATTAAGAGCTAGAGCGATGTGCCCCAGGGAGACGATATGGTATTCTCTCCAGTAAGAAGGCCTGTCCCAAACCTGCAGGTGAAAAAAAAGCCAAATTAGACTGATCATTACTCACAGTATTTAAAACAGACAGAGGGTAAATCTCTTTAATATATAAAGTTCTCTTATAAATCAATAAGAAAAAAAATGACTACATTTGTTTTTTAAAAAACAAACAAAAGACATGAACAGGAAAATAATAAATAAGCATATGAGGAAAAGTTCAGTCTGAGTCATAATTAAAGAAATGTATGTTAACAAAAATCAAAGAATAAATACCATATTGGCCAATCATAGCGACAAGGAGTAAAAAGAATGATCTCCTATGGTGTTGGAAAGATAGGTGGTAAAGGACACCCTCATTTCTTGATGTTGAAAATACAAACTGGTATGTGCTTTTTAAAGGGAAATTTGGCTATATGTATCAAAGGCTTTAAAAATATTTTATACTCTGACCCAGAAAATCCACCTCTACGAATTTTGACTATAAATAATGAGACAGGTACCCAAATATGTGTAAATATGTACCTTGAGGCATTAAAAAATATAATCAACCTAAAAGTCTACCAGTTAGTTAAATAAATAAGAACCAGCCATAAAATGAACTGTTATATAGCCATTTAAAATACTGACATAGATTTATGTTTCTGTTATGGAAAAATATGCACTATATATACTGCTGGATATGTAAAGCAAGTTATTGAATAGTGGTGGGTGAGCATAATACTATTTTTTGTAGTGTATATGTGAGTATACATAAAATACATGTATGAAATAAATAAATATGTTTTACACACATATACAGAAGTTTGGGAAGCTTCAGTGAATATCTCAAAATATTAACAGTGCTTATCTCCAGGGAAAAGCTTATGACCAATTTTCTTTATTATTTTCTGAATTGTCCACAGTAAACTTGGATTATTTCTATAAAAATTAGGGTTATAAATATAATTTTAAGGAATTTAATGTCTTAACTTCACAAGGGTAACTCACTACTCCACGGCCATCCTAACAGCTGAAACAAGCCCCTCAAAGGGACCTTTATAAAGATGGGCAAACTACTTCCAGTCCTCTTTTTACACCTTTCTGCTACAGTTTCAGATGAATTTGCAACAGATTCCGAGACAACCGACTGCAAGTGGCAATCAGGGTTTTCCAAGTGGAGAAAGAAAAGGCACAATTTCTGGGAACCATCTTGGTCCGAGGCGCAAAATGTCCACAGAATGTGATTTACTGAGCATCCATTAGATGCCAAGTCCCATCTCTGTTCTCTGCCCAAAGAGGGAGGAACTAGAAATTTCTTAGATGCAGAGATCACAACTCCAGCACTGAGCCGATGCAGTGAAATTTCAACAGGATATAACTCCAGTGACAGCTCCTTGAGGAACACTCAGAGCACAGAGACTACTGCATGGGGATTTTCCTCTGCTGAATGCTTCCTCTGAGGTGGGCTTTACCTGCACGGCTTTCTCCTTCAGGGCCATCAGCTGAGGCTGGCTGAGTCCCCTGACAGCCCCCAGTAGCTCTGCATTCCTGATGAACGTGTCTTCCTCCATGCAGAGCAGGTCCTCTGGAGCCCAGCAGGCATTGGCTTCGGCCAACTGGAAGATGTCATTGGAAGAGGGAGCTGCAACTCCATGGCAACCTGAACAATGGGCAGACGCAGGGAGGGAACAGAGGAAGAGAATTTCAGGAAATGGTAGTCTGTTTCTTCATTGAAATGAGTAATATCTTTCTCCACTCAGATTTACTCTCAAGAGGCAGTGTAGTGTAGCAATTGAGAGCTGGGACTCAGGAACCAGTCTGAATCCCACTTCTGCCATTTCTTGTTAATTACCCAGTAACAAAATCATGGAAAATGCCAACTTTTTGCCCAGCCACATGCATACACTAGGAGCTCGGCAACATTGCAACTGGACTGCAAATTGCCTTGAGGAGGAACAGTACGACCTGGTGGTGAATAGTGCTGGTTTTAATTTCAAATCCCAAGCTACTTAACCCTTTTGTGCCTCAGTTTCCTTGTCTATAAAATGAAGATAAAATTAACTCACAGAATTTTTATGAGAGCTAAACGTGTTAGTATGTATAAAGGTAATACCAGGCACACAGTAAGCACTCAATATATGTTAGGCATTTTTATTATTTATGTTACCTGCCGCCACCACCTCACACCTTTGAGTTTGCAACCCAGAGTTAAGGCTTCCAGAATTACGGGGAAGGAACGCTCCTATCTAAGCATGGAACAGGGGGATGATTTGCCATCCATAGAAACCACAGTGGGGCTGGCTGGGGCCTTCCCATACCAGGAGAGAGGAGAAATGGGCCTGCTGCACTTTCCTTGGCAACCGGAAAAACCCGTCCATTTCAGTCCCTCAGTAAGTTGAACCTTACCTGGTCAAACCAGTTAACATCATCAACACACAAATATAACACTGTCTTTGCTGGCCCAGATGTGCCCAGCCTGCAAGAAATCCCAGGTCTCCTTGTCTTAAGAGCAATCCTGGATTTTTTTTGTACTAGCAGCTGCCCACCCCTGATGCTGACACTCACCAGCATCACTTCGGCCAGGGTGTTTCTCAAACCCTGAGGTCACACCCTTCTTACTGCATCTCAAAGGAAATTCACTGGATTCCAATCAAGAGGCAAAGTAGACCAGATCAAGGGCACCATGTGTGGTCCCCAAACATCATCACCCACGTGGGGACAAAAGATCCAACCCTCCTAGACCCCCTCCACCCCACTTTCCCATGAAAACAGGATCCAGTGATGGTAAAGAGTTAGGAATAGAATGGCTAATTGTGCAGCAGGGACTTGGTTGTATCACTGCTGTATTTCCAGGCCCGACACGTAGCAGGTGTTCAGCAAATATTTGTTGAATGAATCAACACACACACACTAACTACAATGAAACCAGGTAGTAATTCTACTAATCCATTTATCACTGCAAGCACAGCAGTGATTAACACCCAGCACCGGCAAAAGAAAACTGCCTCTGTGCTGATAACAGAGCGTCTTCTACGAGTGCGGGAGTCTGACTTTGGCACATGACACGCACGGCATACAGGGCTGCAATACAGCAGCTGCAAGGGCAGCAGGAACTAGTGGCGGCCACCACCAGGTTTGGGTACAAATCCAAGAGCTGCCATTTACTAACTTCATGACTGTAGTCCTGTCTCTTAATCTCTCTAAAACTCTGTTTCCTTGGTCAAGAAACTGGGAGAAGTCATAGCACCCACCTCACAGGTAGGAGGTGAGGAGACAACGTGTGGAGAGATGATCACCAAGACAAACATAAGTCACATTCTCACAAGTCTTTGCTCTATTCCCCAATGAAACCCTTACCTAGAGGAAAAGCCAAAGGCCTTAGGGTTTCCTGTATAAGGCCCTACATGTCTGGCCTTGGCTTTCATCCCCTCCAGTCTCTCATCGCCCCTTCTCTCCTACTCCTGCACATTTCCTTCTGCCTGGAAGATTCTGATCCAAATATCCATGTCGCCCACTCTCTTGAGTCTTTACTCCAACTTCACCTTCTCAGTGAAACCCATCTTACCCTTTCTCTTTTCAAATTGGAATCCCCACCCACATGCCCTGACCCCCTCCCTTGCTTTATTTTCCTTCTTGGCTCCCATCAGCACCCAACATACTATGTCTTTTACTTATGTATGTAATTTATAGTCTGGCTGCCCACCATTTGAAAGTAAGCTACACAAGGGCAAGGATTTTTGCCTGTTTTGTTCACAGTGTGTGCTCAATAATTATTTGCTGTGGGAAAGAAAGCCAGTACCAGCTGTCAACTGTTATTAGTACAATTATTATTGGGTCTGATTGACTGGCCTCCTCCTGTCTGGCACAAACCTGAACTTAGTAAGTGCACAATAATAATAAAATCATCTAACACTTACTGAGCATTTTCTACTTGCCAGGCACTGTTGTGAATATTATTCACAGGCTTAAACCCAGTAATCCTCTCCATAACCTCAGGAGGAAGGGACTTTCATGACCCCCATCTTACAGTGAGTGAACACTGAGACACAGAGAGGCTAAAGAGCTTGCCCAGAGTCACACAACCAGGAAGCGGCTGACCCAGACTGCAAAGCCAGCTATCCGGGCCCCAGCACAGCAAAGTGCAGCCACTCGGCCGTTTGGTCCCTTCAGGTCAAGCCTTTTGCAAAGTCTGTTGCACATGTTCATCACTGAACCTACTAGCTTGAGTAAGGAGTGCAGGATGTGGTTTTAAGTCACATTACAAAAGTGTAATTCCTTGGCCTATGGGTTTTAGCTTTGCAAACATTTCAGCTAGCCCTCAGTGACCTCTTGATGCCAGGGACTCAGCCAAAACCCTGCTGCCATGACACAGACCAAATACCCCAGAAACACTCACCAGGGCTGGGGTCAGGGCTGGGGCTCTTCTCTCTGTGGTTCCGAACAGATTCAAAGACAACCCAGAGGAATCCTTTGGGGGGCAGGGGCCCAGCCATTTTGGAGGCTGTTTGTTGAAGGATATCAGGAAACTGTGTGGGGTAGAGAGGATGAAGAAGAGAAACAAATAACAGTTAGAGGGCATTAAAATAGAGATTTAAATCAGAGTTTAAACTGTAGCACTTCTTACTGCCTCAGTTGTTTCTCCTTTATAGCAGCTTCTCAGAAATATAATCCCTAGCCCAACTAATTTGGTCTCTACAAAGAATCATAGAAAATGATATTCAACCTCAGTAATAAGGGAATGTGCAATAACAAAAGCATACTCTTTTTTTCACTCATTCAATTGTCAAAAATAAAACAGAGTGATAATATATTAAATAAAATGAGTGGTAATACCTAATGCTGGCCAAGATGTAGAAAGTACGCACCCTTATTTTTCTGTGGGACTGTTAAATGCTATATTACCAAGGCGCTCAGACAATATCTAAATAAAAAGTGGGTGAGTCTACCTATTTTTGGTCTGATATTTTTTAAAATTTTTAATTAACTTTGTACTTATTATTTTTTTAAAAAAGAGAGGATCATCTCTGTCTTCTGAGTAGAGATAGCAATGAGGGGGTTTCTGATTGTCCTGGAGAAGATATCATTTCTCATCTAGAACTAGTGCACTTTGTCAAGGATATTATTGGGAGACCAGTCGGTGGATCCTGAGAATTCATCAAACTCTCCCATACAGCTATGCATCACTCTGTCCCAGGTCACCTGAAGAAAAAGCATCTCACTTGGTAAAGTTCCTCCTTTAGGTTTTCCTCTAAGAATTGCAATTCTTAGAACTGCTTAGGACTACATGTTTGGATGCCCCAGAAGGTGGTATTACCATGACTGGGCACTGGGATGTGCGCTGTGGATGTGAGACCCTGGGAGGCCTGCCATGTGTTCAGACTCTGCTGAGCACATATGACAATGGACATTTTGCCTGTGCAAGTACAGGAATGAAAGCATGTGAAGGTGCTTTGTGGTTGATTTGATCCTCGTTCAGCAAACATCTCTTGTGTCCACCTGCAAGGAGACTACTTCCTGCCCTGCTGAATTTGGTCATGTGACTTGCTTTGGCCAATGGGAAGGGAGAGCGTGCCGTTTCCCGGTAAGTCTTAAGGAAAATGGTACTTTTGCACTCCCTTTTCTGGAGTTCTGGACCTTCTCAGTGAAAACAAGTTCCAGGTAGCCTAGGCTCCAGAGTCAGACTCTTGAAGCAGAGCTCGCAGGGACCCGCAGAACAGTCAATAAGTCATAAATGCTTATTGCTGCATGTCAATGAGATTGTACGGCTTTGTTATGCAGCGAAAGATGACTAATTCGTGCTTGTTTGGCATACCTTTTGTCTAACTCTTAGAGAGTTACTCCAAGTAGGGTGTTGTACCTAAAGGCCATGCTCAATAAAGATTTGGTTTGGGATTAAATGTGCAAATGTGATTGCACACACTGGACGTGCATGTGCTCATGGCATTGGTGGGCATGAGACCTTGAATGGGCATGCTTGTGGGAAGCACAAAGACAGCAGAGTGGTGACTAACTGACGGCTCCCAGGCTGTGCAGATCTGCCTGCAGGGCCATGTGAAAGGCCCAGAGTTCATCTCACTGCTGCCTCACACCCTTTCCTGAACCTTGTACATCCTGGAGGGAAGCTGGAAACATCTGAGTCCTTTAAGGCAGGGAGGAAGTTTCCAGAAAAATAAAGTGGCAGAAAACCAAACTGAGTATAACTGACCATGCTTTCCCTCCCCTTCAAACTCCTTCAGCCTTCTAAAGATGGAGCACAGTGGTACCTTTGTAGCAATAGAGCTTAATTCATCTTCTGAGAAAAGGACTAGAAAGGGTCCCAAGTCCTTCATAGTCTCAGCTGTCCAGTTCTGGGGGAGTCTAAGAAGAGACAATAAGCAGTAAGTTGAAAAACTATGCTGTTCAATTCATTCTCCAGCATCATTTTCTTTCAGGAACATACCACCCTCATACCTGAAGAGGCTGTCAATCACGTGGTCCCACTTCCCTGACCAAGAAAATAGGCATGTGACACAGATTGACCCATCAGAGTCATCCCTGGGAATTCTGATGGAAGCACTAGAGAATCTCTTTTGGTATCTCTAGGAGTAAAGGAGATACTGGAAGCCATTCCCTTCGCCAAATGGAGAAAATAAAGGACACACCAAAGAACACAGAGCTAGGATGGAAGGAACATATTCCTGATATCATTTGAGCCTCTGGATCCAACCATACCTGAAGTCCAAACCTGGAGTTTTCCATTACATTCCATTTCTGACCTGAATAAATTCCCTTTTTTTTTTTAGCTTGAATTGAATTGTTGAATTTCTGTCATTTACATCATAGCATTTTCTTCCTTCTACTCCTCAGTAGAACAGTAATGATATATGTATTCCTCTAAATTACTATAACAGTCTTCTCTTACAGCAAGACGAAATTTCCTCTTGAATTTGACAGGATACTAACAGCACGAATCCAGAATCCACTCTTGTTCATATATAGATCATAAATGTCTATAGCAAAGTGCCTCACACTGTATTTGGTGACATCTGTGGAGGAGGTCTGCCCGATTGCAAGGACAACCCCTCTCTAAGACTGAGGCAAACCACCCCTGGCAGAGAATCTCTCCCTTATCTCTTTGATTAAAAATATTATCCTACTAGCCTATAAGCTCCATGAGAACAGGAACCATTATCTTATTAAGCACTCTATCCTCAGTCCTAGTAGTAAAACAGTCGTTGCATACTCAATACTCTGTACCAGGCACTACTGCAGTCCCCATTCTACAGATGTGGAAATCCAAGTGCAGAAAGATTAAGGAGCTTTTCCCAAGTCACAGAGACAGTAGATAAGACAAATAATATTTTAACCCAAGGAGTCTGGTTCCAGAGTCCATGCTCAAACTCTTCAATGCCTAGGACACAGTAACTACACCAACCATTTTTTTAACCATTGAGTAGGAGTCTAGGCCCTACTCAAATTTCAGAAAAGCTTTTTCTACATGGGAAACAACAGTTGTTTTCCCCCAGAGAGCTGTCACTCACCCAGTGCTGATAGCACTCAATTACTTACATTAATATTGCTCTTGTTATTTCACTAAACAATAATAATACATCTGTATTATTGCATCTGTTAAGTGCCATCTTTTCAGAGCTCTTTCCCTTTCCTTTTGCCAAGATATATTAGTAACAACCATGTGATGCCTGCAGAGTGGCTACTCTTGTCCTCACTTAATAGAGAACCTGGGGCCAAAAACAGGAAAGGTCACAATTCCAGAATAAACATAAGCGTCTAACCTTGTCCTAACCAGAGACTGTCTGTTTGGGAGCAGGAGGCCAGAGCTGGGCACCCCTTTGCCAGCACACTCCACCCAGAGCCAAGCCCCTGCCCCTCCTCACCCATGCTGTTGCAGGAGCCGGAGCCTTACTGCAGCCTTCTGCTCAGGGCTGAGGTCCGGGCAGTCTCTGAGGCCATGCAGGGCTGTGGCCCAGGCCCTGGGGGAGACCCCGTGGTAGATGATGGCCCCTGGCAAGTGGCAGAGCAGGTTCCCCAGGATGTCCACAGTGAAATCGTCAGCAATGGAGTTGTTCTGAAACCAACAAGTGGGGCTGATGGGATGACAAAACTGATCCCTTAAACACTTCCTGACCCCAAATCTCATAAAGGTCCCAGGATCTGAATCACCTATGCTGCCATGGGCTAGTAGACAGCGCAGGGCCTGATTTTCGCCCAGGGATGCAGGCCTCAAAGTCTAGGAGACCCACTGAGAGTGCGTGTGGGCAGAGATGTGGCATATGGTGAGCACTTAGAAAATAAGTGCTGTTGTCATCTTGGTGTCATTGCTCTGAGGATACCCCAGAGTTCAAAAGCCATTATGATAATAGTACAACAGTGATAAAAACAGCACTCAAATTTGTATGGCACTTGAAAGCCTTCAGGCTCCTTCTCAAAATGACAGAAGTAGCTGGCATTTATTGTCGCTAACATTATTCCCGTCATTACTATGTGCCAGGCACTGTTCTAAGAGTTTGCAGGTCTTCATTCATATCCAAAATTACTGTAAGAGATAACTACTAATATTATCTCCCTTTTAATGATAAAGAAACTGCCAGCGCATGGCAGGGCTAGGATTTACACTCAGTGTGAACTGAACTGCCCTTTGGGCCTTGGGCCTTGGCATTGAACAACATACTGCCTATTTCGTGCCTTCAATAACTCTATGAGAGAAGTGCTACTGCACCCATCGTACAAATGAGGAGACTGAGGCTCAGGGAAGGGAAGTGATTTTTCCAAAGCCACATAACCAACCAATCATTGCCAAAAGCATGCCTAGAACCCAGACTCTGTGTCTTGTGATCTTTGAAGTCCCCCAGAGCTGTCTCCCCTCATTCGGGCTCCAGGATGGCAGTCCCCAGAACCAGTGGTCAAGATGGTCCCACCCAGTGGCTCCAGAGCAGCCTTGAGACCCACAAGTCAGACGTCTGGCCATCACAGCAGGCTCAGGGTCCCAGCAAGAACCCTTGCAAACTCCCTAGAGCGGCCACGACGTGCAGAGAGGAAGGGACCATTTACTTACCAGGCATTGCTGCACTTTCCTGAGGACTAAATTCTTTTTGTGGGCATCTAAAACCAAGGAGTTCAACTGACTCTTCCCCAGGCTGATCAGAAAGGGCACACACTGGGAGGCTGGGACAGAAGCCAGGTATTGAGCCCTGGAGAGAGATGCAGGGAATGAGAGGAGGCAACAGTGGTTACTCTGTATTTGCCGATGAAATCAGGGTCCACATGCCCCAGAGCTCATCCAAGGGAAATTCTCTAAATATTTGTTCCCTCAGTGATGCTGTGGCTCCTCTTGGCAGGCAGCAAGCCTTCCACCCATTAGGCCCCTTTTCCGGGGGCAGGAAACAAACTTCCCATCATGCCCTTCTTCTATGGATGGGAAACAAACTTCCCATCATGCTCCTCTTCAGTGGGCAGGAAAAAACTTTCCATCATGCTCCTTTTCCATGGGTGAGGAACAGACTCCCCATCACGCTCCTCCTCTGTGAGTAACCCAATAGTAGCACTGATCAGAGACATAACATAGGTTGACTGATGGACTGGTTGAGGGAGATGAGGAGAAAGGAAAAGAAAAACTAGAAGAGATAAAGAGAGAGACTAACATAGTGAGGAAGACAAGACGGACAGAGCAGATAAGAGAGATGACATGCAGTTCTGTCACCCTCAGCCCAGAACTCCCCCTAAGTTCTTGACTGTGCATTCACAGCAGGGGCACGATGCCCCAAAAGGGGAGAAACTGGCTCAAGGGGAGACAGGGAGTGAAAAAAAACCTTAGTTATTTGTGACCCACCAAAGTTCAACCCTACTCAATGAAATCTTATTCCCTATCATTTCTGTCATTAGGGAAAAATTAAATGGTTCTCAGGGAGGCAAAACGAAACAAAGGCTGAGAAAGACTGCTCTAGAGCCATATGGCCTACTCATCATCACCACTGGACTGAGCAAAACCAAATTCAACACGTTCTGCCTCCTCTCTGCCACACCAGACTCCTTCTTCCTGTATCCCTAAATCTGTCACTGCTGTCTCCTTAACATCACTCGGATCTGTTCTTGCCTCTCCACTCCCAGGACCACCGTCTTATTTGTCTCTTCATCCATTCAGCAGGTATCTACAGAGCATCTGCAGCATGGTGGGTGCTGTGCTGGGCACCAGCCACAGCCATGAACAGGACCCAAGGGGCAGGCCTGGCTTTGCTCCAGCAGGAGAAAGAAACGCAGAATCCACTGAATAAAACAAGTAATTTTCAGCCAGTGATAAGTGTAAGGAAGAAAACAAAATGGCTCTGTACTGAAGAGTGAAGGTGGGGAGAGCCAGAGGAGCCACCTCTCAGGCAGAATTATTTGACCTGGGTGGGAGGAGACAGCCATGCCAATGTCCAGGTTATAGAAATAAGTTTCTGCTGTTTGCTTCCAGCCAGGCCGCCTGCATTCTGTCCTCTGCGTGGGCAGTGGTGATGAGCTCTCTGGAACATAAATCTGAGGGCTGCGCCCAGGATACAGGTGAGAGCCCTCAGGGCACCACGCAAGCCGTATACCTGACCTGGTGGTCCCTCACCTCTGTGGTCTTCTCTCTCCCATCTACTCTGCAGATACTCACCATGCATCCCCTAGAGGGCTCTGCTTTTCTCACCACTGCAGGACTGAGCCCCCACCCGGGTTGTCCAAGGTGAATTCTCAAATCCCAGCCCATTCTGCCAGCTTTAGTTCAGTCTGCTCTGACCCTCCAGCCTTAAGAACACATGCCTCCTGTGTACCCAGTGCCCAATACCCATATCGATTGGAACAACACCTGGCTTTCTTAGAGAATCACCCCCTTCACACTAAGTCCTTGTGGTCTGAGACATGGTCTACACTCTCGGCTCCAGGAGCACAACATTGACCGAAGCCAATTAAAGTTACCCATTCTCCCAACCCCAGTGACTGGTTCAAGGAGAGCAAACTGGCCCAGTCAGACCTAGGAAAGTCAAACTCAAGACTTTTCTGAGAAGGATGGAAAGAAAAGTCTTTTCCTTTTCCCAGAATATGAAAGAGGAAGCTGTAACTTTGGATCTGCCAGGAAACACCACAGAGAAAGAACCTGCCTGACAGAGAAGCCTGCAGAGGAGAGCTGGGCCAAGAGACAGATGACCTCATTTGAGCCCCTGAAGTCTACCCCTGGACTTTTCAGTTACCTGAACCCCAAAATGTTTTTTATTGTGTAAGCCAATTTGAGTTAAAGTTCTATCACTTGCAACCAAATATCAATTTGATAGCATGATTGGCTTCATGATTGTCTACTTCCCCCATGAGATTGTAAGGGGAATTTAGTTACCTCTGAGAACTCGTACATAGTAAACACTCAATTGAATGTACGAAGACAATTAACAGCAAAAGAAGGGACATGTTAATAAGAGAGCCTGTCTGAAGTACCTATGTGGGGCTCAGAATTTAAATCCTGGTTCTCAGGGCCTTCAGAGTTGAAGCCACTCTCCACTCTGCCTCTGATTCCTCAGAAACCCAGGGGTGTAGAGGGCTTTTGGGTGATTTCCACCAGTCTTACTGCTGAGCCAGAGAGACGGGTCAACATTCACTTACGGGAGTGCAGCCAAGAGGAAGGGTGGCATGGAGGTCCTGGAAACTTCCCAGTATTTCCACGCCAAACAATTAACCTGAAAGATTAAAGCAGTTCTAGGAATTTAGTACAGTAATAAGAGCAAACAGAAACTGCTTTCAGTGAGCCAGGCATGGTTCTAAGTCCTTTATATATGACGACTTGTTTAACAGAACACCCTATGATGGACATACACTACCATACCCAGTTTATGGGTGAGGAAACTGTGGCAATAAAAGGGGAACACAAAAATTTAAGTCTGAGAATGCTCACCAGTTTTGTTTATAACTGCAAGAAAGTGAGATGCTAAATTAATTAAGCAAGGAGGCCATTAGATTGATGTGGCTCTAATGCCGTGGTGGCCTATATAAGCAAACCAACCTCTAAGCCTGTAAATGCCTCAAGGTTACAAAATCAAAATGCTCAGGACAACTCATGAACAGCCAACTAGACTCTAAGCTACAGCCAATCAAATAATTTCCCTTCTTTGCTTCCACACTTTGTCTATGTCTTTCCTAACCACTTCCCATTTGGTCATCTGATTCCAGTTGATTTTTGCTCAAATAAAGTCTTAAAATTTATAATATGCCTCAGGTTATTTTTAAGCAAGATCTAACCTTAATGTCCTTCAGTTTGGGATTGATTAAATAAATTATGGTACATCCATACAATGGCATTCTATGCAACTACTTTGTTTCAATAAAGTAGATTTATATATATATGTATATGTACTTATGTACATGTATGTGTACATGGGTACATATTATTTATATATTATGTATTATATATTATTTATATATTCATATATTATTACATATATTATTTATTACTTACAGTTACTATTTATATATTAATATATTGTTTATTACTTATATATTTATTCTTTATATATTATTGTTTATGAATTATATATATATCATACATACGATATATATTAACATGGAATGATGCCAATGTCCTACTTTAAGTATATATACACATGTTATATATAAAGTTAAGTAGAACAGTAAAAGCAATATGAACTCACTTGCGTTTTTTAAATTATATGTAAATGTGTTTTATAGATATACCAAAAAAAGAACCTTCAAAGTCAATAGCAAACTTTCCCCTGCAGTTACCTCTGGAGCAGGGGTTTTCAATCCCGGCACTCCTGACGTTTCAGGCTGGATTAACTCTTGGTTGAGGGCTGTTCTCTGCCCTGTGGGAGGTCATACAACACCTCTGGCCTCTGCTCACGAGGTGCCAGGAGCATCTCCCCCAAACTGTCTCCAGATACAGCCAGATGGTCTCCTTGGGAACCACCACTCCAGAAGACATGTGGGAAATTTTTACTTTCTCTGCATTGTTTTATTTTTTTATAATAATTATGTGTTTTCAGCAAATATGTAAACAACAAAGGCATATTTTCTAATGAACTGGTATTTGAAGGTTCTGCGAACTAAGGAGAGTCTGGGTAGGGAGCTTGGTTGGAGTAACAATTCCTTCTGGGACACATAGGTCTTCCCCAAAGTAGGTCTGCCCTCTATCCATCACATCAGTTGAATGGGTGGAAGGGGATCCAGGTTACAGAAATAACCTGCCTGGGCAAGACTTTTCATATAGTTCAATGGTTCTTATCAGGGAACTGTTAGAAATATAAATCATCAGGCTTCACCCCAGACCTACTTTAAGGGAACTGTGCAAATGGGATGCCTCAATCTGTGTTGCTTAACAGCTTTATTGAGGCATAATTGATATGCAAGGCAATGCATGTATTTAATGTGTGCACATTGATGAGCTCTAGAACTTACTCAGCCAGCAAAACTGAAACTTTACACCCACTGAACAATGCAATGCTGATGTTCAGGCTATCCTGATGCAAACGTAAGTTCAGGAGCCATTGAGAGTGGACGATGTAAGGCAAAGACAGGGCTTTGTTAAAATTTTGCAAATTTCTCCCCTGATCTCAAAGGATTATATAACCAAGCTTTATACTTTCCGACTTTCAGGGAGATAATACACTGCTTGGAAACTTTTTATTCACATCTGAAACACACCAGGCCAGAGTTGGGAAGATGTCTTGTATGTCCACCTGCTCCTCTTCTCAACTCTGTGTAGCTGACAGCTTCTACCCCATCTTTCCTTATTTAGATACTTTGAAAGTTAGTCACTGCCTCTAGTCTCCCCAAAGGGTTAGAGTTTCCATAAGCATTCCGAGAAATGAAGTTTTAAGTAAAAAAGAAATATTCTTATTGTTCCCATTCCTGGCTGCCCTGAAAAGGACGGGAATGATAGATAAGGGAGTGATCTTCAGTCTCAGGAGAGCATAATTATGAACATGCAAAATGGTATATCTTACAACTGTACTTTAAGGTTCAAATCTGAGTATGGCATAACCAACCTTTTGGCTATACCGACATGAGCATCTGGATCTTCTAAATAAGAACTGGAGAAAGCCTGGCTCCATATCTTTTCTCACCACTGCAGGACTGAGCCCCCACCCGGGTTGTCCAAGGTGAATTCTCAAATCCCAGCCCATTCTGCCAGCTTTAGTTCAGTCTGCTCTGACCCTCCAGCCTTAAGAACACATGCCTCCTGTGTACCCAGTGCCCAATACCCATATCGATTGGAACAACACCTGGCTTTCTTAGAGAATCACCCCCTTCACACTAAGTCCTTGTGGTCTGAGACATGGTCTACACTCTCGGCTCCAGGAGCACAACATTGACCGAAGCCAATTAAAGTTACCCATTCTCCCAACCCCAGTGACTGGTTCAAGGAGAGCAAACTGGCCCAGTCAGACCTAGGAAAGTCAAACTCAAGACTTTTCTGAGAAGGATGGAAAGAAAAGTCTTTTCCTTTTCCCAGAATATGAAAGAGGAAGCTGTAACTTTGGATCTGCCAGGAAACACCACAGAGAAAGAACCTGCCTGACAGAGAAGCCTGCAGAGGAGAGCTGGGCCAAGAGACAGATGACCTCATTTGAGCCCCTGAAGTCTACCCCTGGACTTTTCAGTTACCTGAACCCCAAAATGTTTTTTATTGTGTAAGCCAATTTGAGTTAAAGTTCTATCACTTGCAACCAAATATCAATTTGATAGCATGATTGGCTTCATGATTGTCTACTTCCCCCATGAGATTGTAAGGGGAATTTAGTTACCTCTGAGAACTCGTACATAGTAAACACTCAATTGAATGTACGAAGACAATTAACAGCAAAAGAAGGGACATGTTAATAAGAGAGCCTGTCTGAAGTACCTATGTGGGGCTCAGAATTTAAATCCTGGTTCTCAGGGCCTTCAGAGTTGAAGCCACTCTCCACTCTGCCTCTGATTCCTCAGAAACCCAGGGGTGTAGAGGGCTTTTGGGTGATTTCCACCAGTCTTACTGCTGAGCCAGAGAGACGGGTCAACATTCACTTACGGGAGTGCAGCCAAGAGGAAGGGTGGCATGGAGGTCCTGGAAACTTCCCAGTATTTCCACGCCAAACAATTAACCTGAAAGATTAAAGCAGTTCTAGGAATTTAGTACAGTAATAAGAGCAAACAGAAACTGCTTTCAGTGAGCCAGGCATGGTTCTAAGTCCTTTATATATGACGACTTGTTTAACAGAACACCCTATGATGGACATACACTACCATACCCAGTTTATGGGTGAGGAAACTGTGGCAATAAAAGGGGAACACAAAAATTTAAGTCTGAGAATGCTCACCAGTTTTGTTTATAACTGCAAGAAAGTGAGATGCTAAATTAATTAAGCAAGGAGGCCATTAGATTGATGTGGCTCTAATGCCGTGGTGGCCTATATAAGCAAACCAACCTCTAAGCCTGTAAATGCCTCAAGGTTACAAAATCAAAATGCTCAGGACAACTCATGAACAGCCAACTAGACTCTAAGCTACAGCCAATCAAATAATTTCCCTTCTTTGCTTCCACACTTTGTCTATGTCTTTCCTAACCACTTCCCATTTGGTCATCTGATTCCAGTTGATTTTTGCTCAAATAAAGTCTTAAAATTTATAATATGCCTCAGGTTATTTTTAAGCAAGATCTAACCTTAATGTCCTTCAGTTTGGGATTGATTAAATAAATTATGGTACATCCATACAATGGCATTCTATGCAACTACTTTGTTTCAATAAAGTAGATTTATATATATATGTATATGTACTTATGTACATGTATGTGTACATGGGTACATATTATTTATATATTATGTATTATATATTATTTATATATTCATATATTATTACATATATTATTTATTACTTACAGTTACTATTTATATATTAATATATTGTTTATTACTTATATATTTATTCTTTATATATTATTGTTTATGAATTATATATATATCATACATACGATATATATTAACATGGAATGATGCCAATGTCCTACTTTAAGTATATATACACATGTTATATATAAAGTTAAGTAGAACAGTAAAAGCAATATGAACTCACTTGCGTTTTTTAAATTATATGTAAATGTGTTTTATAGATATACCAAAAAAAGAACCTTCAAAGTCAATAGCAAACTTTCCCCTGCAGTTACCTCTGGAGCAGGGGTTTTCAATCCCGGCACTCCTGACGTTTCAGGCTGGATTAACTCTTGGTTGAGGGCTGTTCTCTGCCCTGTGGGAGGTCATACAACACCTCTGGCCTCTGCTCACGAGGTGCCAGGAGCATCTCCCCCAAACTGTCTCCAGATACAGCCAGATGGTCTCCTTGGGAACCACCACTCCAGAAGACATGTGGGAAATTTTTACTTTCTCTGCATTGTTTTATTTTTTTATAATAATTATGTGTTTTCAGCAAATATGTAAACAACAAAGGCATATTTTCTAATGAACTGGTATTTGAAGGTTCTGCGAACTAAGGAGAGTCTGGGTAGGGAGCTTGGTTGGAGTAACAATTCCTTCTGGGACACATAGGTCTTCCCCAAAGTAGGTCTGCCCTCTATCCATCACATCAGTTGAATGGGTGGAAGGGGATCCAGGTTACAGAAATAACCTGCCTGGGCAAGACTTTTCATATAGTTCAATGGTTCTTATCAGGGAACTGTTAGAAATATAAATCATCAGGCTTCACCCCAGACCTACTTTAAGGGAACTGTGCAAATGGGATGCCTCAATCTGTGTTGCTTAACAGCTTTATTGAGGCATAATTGATATGCAAGGCAATGCATGTATTTAATGTGTGCACATTGATGAGCTCTAGAACTTACTCAGCCAGCAAAACTGAAACTTTACACCCACTGAACAATGCAATGCTGATGTTCAGGCTATCCTGATGCAAACGTAAGTTCAGGAGCCATTGAGAGTGGACGATGTAAGGCAAAGACAGGGCTTTGTTAAAATTTTGCAAATTTCTCCCCTGATCTCAAAGGATTATATAACCAAGCTTTATACTTTCCGACTTTCAGGGAGATAATACACTGCTTGGAAACTTTTTATTCACATCTGAAACACACCAGGCCAGAGTTGGGAAGATGTCTTGTATGTCCACCTGCTCCTCTTCTCAACTCTGTGTAGCTGACAGCTTCTACCCCATCTTTCCTTATTTAGATACTTTGAAAGTTAGTCACTGCCTCTAGTCTCCCCAAAGGGTTAGAGTTTCCATAAGCATTCCGAGAAATGAAGTTTTAAGTAAAAAAGAAATATTCTTATTGTTCCCATTCCTGGCTGCCCTGAAAAGGACGGGAATGATAGATAAGGGAGTGATCTTCAGTCTCAGGAGAGCATAATTATGAACATGCAAAATGGTATATCTTACAACTGTACTTTAAGGTTCAAATCTGAGTATGGCATAACCAACCTTTTGGCTATACCGACATGAGCATCTGGATCTTCTAAATAAGAACTGGAGAAAGCCTGGCTCCATATTTGGCACCCCCATCATCACTTGCATCTCAGTAATCCTGGCACACATATCTTAAGATACCATGGTCAATCCAGGACCGGGGACTGCGGTAGGGAGAGAGAATTAGGAGCAGGAAAGTGGTCTGATAGTACCTGGTATGGCGAAAGCAGGGAGAGGTTGTTCTCAAAATACTGGTAATGGGCCAGAAAGGTGTCCATGCTCATGGCATCAATGTGGGAGCACGTCACGCCTTTGACCAGCTCCCCTGTGCTAGAAAACAAAACAAGGGATCCAGGAGCAGAAGGGGACAGGGAAGAGAGGAAAGGAGAGAGAGAAGGCAGAGATGATCTGACACAGGCAACAGATGGGACTGTCCAACTCTTCCTTCTGGGAAATTGGGCTCCTGGTGGGAAGCCTCCAAAGGGCTCACCAGCCCCAGCCGAGGCACACTCTCCTACCTCAGGAGCTCCTCAGGCCTTCTGGTTGTCTTCGAAAGAAGTTCATACAGGAACAAAGCCTGAAGGAAGAAAATGGTTGGCAGCACTGACATAGCACCCACTGTGCTGAGCACAGGGGTGTACCCGCCCCGTGAGGTCCTATGGGAAGAAATGCTGTGATTCCATCTTACAAATGGGGAAACAGGCCAGACAGACTATGTTACTTATCCGGCACCACACACTTGCTAAGTGGCAGAGCTGGGATCTGAACTAGTGTCAGAGTATTTGCAGGGCCTGGCTCAACTCCTGGTGCTCCCCTCTGCTCTAGGAGGCAAACAAGGAGCAAAGCCACTGGGCAGCAGGGCTGTATACTTCCTGTGTGTTATGAAGCTGCTGACCCATTAAGGACACTCTGTTGCCCTATTTCCATGCCCATCTGCTAGTTTTGGAACACACAGCATCCCAGGAAGAAAAAAGAAGAGGGGCTGAATCGGCCAGGACAGGCTAGAAAGTACCATCAGTGATGTCACGGTGCTGGCCACACACTCCCTCAAACCCTCCCAGGTGGGCATTCTAGAAGAACAACACCTAGTAGGCAAGGGAATCATCTGCTTTGAGGAATGTAATTTTATAGAACACTTAGCTTGCAGACATGATCAAGTATAACACTCACCTATTTATAGACTCTGGAATTTTGAACATAATTCCCCATACAATAAATTACAAACTGGCATTAGGCAGAGGCATCAGGGAAGTGGCAGCCAGGCCCAGGATAAAGGAGCAGCAGGGGGATAAGTTCCCACCACTGTGTGTGGCCCCAGAGATTTCCTGAGACACAAGTTCAAGATCGAGTTCTGGGACCCTCCCAGGCCATCCCCATCCCAGGAAATGGCAATTCCATCAACCCGGTTGCTGAGACAAAAATATCTTGAAGGTATCTGTGGTGGGATGTACTTTCCAAAGCAGCCACATATTTTTTATCTAATGTGTTCTTCTGGAACCTTCCAGAATCATCACCATCCAATCAAGAGATGGAGACTACATCCCCTCCCCTTGAAGTGACATTTTGCAGCAAAAGTGATGCTACGTGACTTCTAAAGGGAGGTCACCAGAGGTGACACGGCTTCTCACGACTCTCCCTTAGGAGTCCCGAACCACCCACATAAGGCCAGCCATCCAAATCCCACCATCCTGAGGTGTATTTAGGTCCTAGGGCTACCTGTGGTTGGGAATGTCAAATTACCACAATTTTGGTGGCTTAAAACCATAGAAATTATTCTGTCACAGTTCTGGAAGCCAGGCATCCAGACTAAAGCTGTTGGCAGGACCAGGCTCCCTCCGAAGGCTACAGGAGAGCATCCTTCCCCTCCTCTTCCAGCTTCTGGTGGCGCCACATGTTCTGTGGCCTGTGGCTGAATCATTCTGGTCTCTGCCTCCCTCTGCACCTGGCCACTTGGCTTCCCCGCCTGCGTTTTCAGTCTCCTTGCCTGTGTTCTCTCTTTTGCTGCCTGGGTCTTCTCCTCTTATATGGACACATGTCACTGGACTTGGGGCCCACTCAGGTAATCGAGGATGACCTCATCCTGAGATCCTTAACTGAACTAAATCTGCAAAGACTATTTTTTTTAAAGCACGTCATTTTTCACCCACAGGTGTTAGGTGGACCTACATTTGGGGGACAGCATTCAGCCCACTCCATGGAGAGCCCACATGCAGACAGAGACATCCCAGCTGTGTCTGACAGTGGAGTCAGCCTCCAGATGACTCCAGCCACCCCCTAAATCCAACTTCATGAAAGCCTGAAGCAAGAGCCCCAGGATATGCGAGTAAACGGTAAAATGGTTGCTACCTCGGAATTTGGAGGTGGATCATCAGCCACCAGCCATCACCAGAACCTCAGCCTCAACGCCTTGCTCTCTTCTACACCCACATCCAATCTGACAGCCAGTTTGGCTGCGGTCACCTTCAAAATGCATCCAGAATCCAACCGTCGGTCACCACCTCCGTTGCTACCTTTTGTCCCTCCTCTGGATTATGGACCAGCTTCCTAACTGACCCCAGGGCTTCTGCCCTTGCTCCCCTCCACTCCATCCCCTGCAGCCCCCGAGTGATTCCTGGGAAACAAAAGTCAGATCTCGAGCCTTTCAGATGCCCCAGTACCTCCTCTTCTCACCCAGAGAAGGCAGTCCTCACAGTGGCCCACAAAGCCCTGAAGACGGGCATCTCCATGGCCCCTCTGAGCTCGGTGAGGCTGTCTCCAGCTATCCTGCCTAACAACAGCCCACTCCCCACCCTCCAAAACTCCTCCCCCACCCCCTGACTTATTCTCTCCTTATCACTCATCATTATCTAACAGAGTCACATGTACTGTGTGTTTCCCTGACTGGACAGACGCTCCATGAGGGCTGGGGTTTTTGTCTGTTTTGTTCACTTCTGCAATCCCAGCAATGAGAACAGCACCCAGCATGTGGTTGGTTCGAGCCTGACAAACATTGGATGAGTGAATGAAATGAAGGGTTAATGAATGAAAAGGAAGTGGGGAAAGTTCCCCAGCAGTGCGTCAGCCTCCACAGGGGCCTCAGGGCAGGCAGCACGTGATGACCACTAATATTTATACCACCATGGGCAGCAGGGTACAGATACATCTCACAGCATTGGCTCTCATGAGAAATTATCCCCATTTTGCACACGTGAAAACTGAGGCCAAGTGAGAGGTGGCCCCAAAGTTGATAAATGGCAGCACCCAAATTTGTGCTCGGGTCTTATTCTGCCTCGTGACTTGAATCACACTGAAATCAATTACTTGTACCAAATTAACCTTAAAACAGACCATTCCCACAAGACAGTCAGAAATTCAGGAGCGATCTGGGCATTGTGGCTGTGCTTTTGTGATTTATAATAAGAAATCTATGTTTAGACTCCCCTTTTTCTGGCACAGAGCTCCTAAAACCCCTAGAATCTCCTAAGTGAACAGAGCAATCCAGGTGTCTTTTGTTAGGTAAGCACCTAATGATAGGGGCTGGTTATGAGGGGAGTCAACCCTTTAATTAGAGGGTGGGACTTTCAGTCACACCACCCCCAACCTCTGGGGAAGTAAGAGGGGCTGGAGGTTGAGTCAATCACCAATGGCCAATTATTTAATCAACTGTGACTAGAATGAAGCCTGCCCAGAGACCCAAAAGGTGGATTTCAGAGAACTTCTGGGCTGGTGAACATGGGGAGGTAGTGGGCTCAGAGTGGGCCTGGAAGCCCCACGCCCTTTCCCCACACCTTGCTCTACACATCCCTTCCATCTGACTCCTCCTGAGTTATGTCCTTTTATAATAAACTGGTGACCTCATAAGTAAAATGTTTCTTGAGTTCCGTGAGCTACTCTAGCAAACTAATCAAACCAAAGGTGGGGGATTGTTGGACCTTCCAGGCTCTAGCCAGTCAATCAGAAGCACAGGGGACAATCTGGACTTGCAATTGACTTCTGAAGTTGAGGGTGGGGACGTAGGCTTGTAGGACTGCACCCTTAACCTGTGGGGTCTGACACTGTCCCTGAGTTAGAAAACCCACAGACACACACAGACACACACACACACACAGACACACACACACACAGACACACACACACACACGAATTGGTGTCCGAACAGTTCATGGCCTGACCTGACTCCTCCGAAGCTCCTTTTCCTTTAGAACTGTAGAGTTGAATCCAGGTTCCCTCCATAAATCGAAGAGAGACACTTCTTTAAAGAAAGCCCCCTGTATCTCCACGATGCCTGAAGCACTGTCTCCACCAACCATCTGCCAAAGTGAACAAAACAATAACAATCGCGTAGAAGGTGCACTGAGCTTTGGGTAAGGGCCGGGTTTCACTGGCAACAAAATCCATCAGATCCGCTCAGCGGCCCTATGAGGTGGGACCTATCCTTATCCCCGTGTCACAGGTAAGAAAACGGACGCTTATCAAGTAATTTGTTGAAAGTCACTAAGTCAGATTCAAGCTCAAGTCTTGGATTCCAAAACCTATGCTTTTATTTCAATCTCCCAGCTACTCCAGGGCACTGGTCCTTAAAGCCAGACCCTGGGATTTTGTTCCTGAAAGGATGCAGCTGGACATGGCAGGTCTGACAGAACAGGATCCCCCCAAAAGCCAACTGCCAAGTGAGAAAGGGGAATATAGGCGTGACTTTGGGTCATGGAAGGAGCTTTCTGAAGCACTCTGGGAGTTTCAGGATTCATTTTTTGTGAAAAACAAACTTTTAAAACAGTCTGTCAAGAAACGTAATTTAAGAAAAGTCTCCCAGATTCAACTGGCCAGGGACAGCACCAGGGTGTGGAAGAAATACAGCCTGGCTCCAGGGGCTCTTTCTGGACAGGAGGGAAGGTGGGCATCAGGAAAAGGCTTTCCTCGGGTTCAGAACCGCCCCTCCCTCAAGCGGGGCCACCCCAGTCCTGAGGCAATGGCCCAGCGTCCCAGTCCACTCACAGCCAGTCTGGGAGCCACAGCTTGCTCTTCCTTTCTGAGGACCAGGCAGCTTGCTCTCACCTTTCTGAGGACACCTTGCTGCTGGGCAGGTGACAGGTCGGACACATGCAGGGAGACGGTGCTTCTCAGGACCTGCGAGAGGTCCCTGAGATCCATACGGTAGAAGGCCTGGGTGCTGACCCCCGCCAGAAGCATGCCCATCTGGCTGACGTTGTAGAAGGACAGCACCTGGGTGAGGCCCGGCAATGAAGAGGATGAGGCTTTGTTGACAGGGCCTTTCACCTTCGACATTCACCAGGCCCCCCACATGCCAGGTATCAAGAGAGGTGCCAGGGGCACCACATCGAGCAAGACACAGATAGCCCTCCAGACCTTCTTTCCTTCTACCGGGAAAGAACGTTAAATATCAAAGCACAACACGCATGGTAACTGCTCCATTGGGGAAAGTACTATATATAGCCCTCTGAGGCTATAGCACACATACCAAAAATCAGTGACCTGTGTGCCACAGATGGACAGGCAATGGCTCTTTTGTGAATTTGAATTCACTGACATGGTTAAAAATTGTAGGATTTTTCACAGAAATCAGATTTTTTTTTAAATCTAATATCAGGCAATACTGGGCCCACGTTGGCAACAACTGGCAAGACAACCTGAGCAGCCACCCCTGCAGGCAGGACTGGGCTTCTCAGTTTACCTAGCCCCACCCCTTCCTGCAGAGCCCTGAGGTGGTGCACTTCTCTCATTACATCACCTGATGGGCATCTGAAGCAACAAAGCTCCACGTGCCTCTATCTCCATGGAGAAGCTTGGAGCCAAAACAAAGAAACGTTTCAGGATATGAGTCTGATATTTCATGACAAATACGATTGCAGCCAGCTGCCTTATCAGAAACTATATTTGTTTTTCTCCCCACTCCTTTAGAGGAAAGACGCTAGATGGTCTTCCATATAATCAGGGCCATTCCTTGGTTCTATAAGAAGACAACTGAGTGGTTTCCTTTACTTATATTTTGCAGAATGGATAGGCTTTTATTGTCCCCAAAGAAGACAAGACCAGGTTCAAGCTCTTGGCTTCTTAGTAAAGGTCACTTCCCCCTCTGGATACTAGGAAAGAGAGAAGCCACCTTGTCCAGGGCTGGGAGGAACAGAAAGGTCTCCCTCTGCTCCCCAAAATCAAATTCATGGCGAACTGCCCAACAATGCCACGAGTTGTTCCAACATCTTCCTGTGCACTCACGTGATCCTTGCAGCCACCCTACGGAATAGCTGCTATGTTCATCGTCATCTTAACAATAGGGAAACTGAGGCAAAGCTAAATTAAGCCAATCACCCAGTGTCTTGTAGCTAGTTAACAGCAGAGCAAGGACTCCCACCCAGGTCATTCTCCTCGGCACCCTCATCTTACTGACTGGCTGCCCCTGTTGTGTGTGTATAACTGGCCCTTGGGCTTCAGGGGATTTAAAAGAGTTCAAGGCTTCATCAACTGACCTTGTTGTGGGCCAAGTATTTGGCAGACAAGATGATGACCTGGCTCTTGGCCCATCCTGAGACCTGGCTGAGAGTAGAGATGGCGCTGTGCACAGCCTCAGGGGAAAGGGATTCCAGCTGACTGTAGGTCAGGCCCACGACTGCATCCGACAATGAGCCCAGAGCCTCACTGAGGGTCTGGTTCTCTGTGGCAATGTCCAGAAGGTCAGCTTTGAGCTAGAAAAGGAGCAAACCGAATGGGGGTGGATAGCAAGCAGGACGGTGGCTCCCTCTGACTACACCCTGAGGTAGTCACGACACCCCTACGCCCCCCAGACAATGAGGTCACCCTACTGAGTGAGGATGCCTTCTCTGGTCTGGCCTTGACCTTAATATGCCACAAATTCACTCTGTGCTTCATTTAAATATTAATGTGCTATTAAGTCAACCTTAAAGCTCTGCAGAAGGAAATGCTGTGCACTTCACCCATAACTCCTCCACACTCCCACAGTGTCTATTTTCCTTTTGTGACCTTGAACTCTACATCCATATATATATGGCTGTTTTTCTTCCATGAACTATCTGGTGGGTTTTTCATAAAATGTAATCTGGTAAAAATAATTCTCAACAGTAACAGGAAAGTAAATGTCTCCTGAATACCCTACCTCATGAAAAGAACTATGATTAGTAATTGGGTACATATGTTACTAAGACTTCTTGTGCCTATATAAATACATACTTTATAAACTACAGTATGTAGCTTTCACCTAGTTTTACTATGAAGAGCAATTTTCTACATTTTTCACTTAAAATTGTCTTAGATGTTTTCATGTTTCTGTAATCACCTTAACAATTATTTTATTACAATATGCCTGTCTACTTACATAGTTAAGTGTGTTGCCCAACTGATTCCAGTAGAGGTGATAAACTCACCTATCATAACATGATCTCTGTACGAAAAAGCGAGCACAGTTCATGTTTTAACACCTGAGTCTGTATGAATAAATAAATACATTCATTTCAGAGGTGAGCAGTCAAGTGTTCCAGGCAATACTGGAATGGCCACTGGGGGGCAGCAGAGCGAAGTGAAAGAAAAGCCATCCCAGCTCCTGGGTTCTCTAAATCCACCAGCCCCGCTGCCCTGCAGCTCAGCCTCCACGTCTGTAAAGCAAAGGGGTTGGACCAGTGCAGGGAGTGCTTCTCACCAGCACCAGCAGCCGGAAACTTGTTAGAAATGTAGATTTTCAGGCCCCGCCCCTGACCGCCTGACCCAGAGGCTCTGGGCGCTCGCAATCTGCACTTTCACAGCCTTCCCGATGACTCTGATGCACCCCCAACGTTTCAGAACTACGTATCTGACTTTCTTCTCAGTTAGGGCTGCCGTGACTGGCTACCCTCGGCCAGAAGATACTTTTATTTTCTTATTTTTGCCGGAGCTTCCTTGGCAGGGATTATTTTCCTTGAAAACAAAAATATGGAGTGACCAAGATACTAACGACTATGTCATGTCCAATGGGATTGGAGACTATGGTTATGTATGAAAAACTGCTGTGCAATTATTAATGATAATATGAAATTTTTCTTTAGTATTGCTCTCAGGTTATCTTTTCTATTAAAAAAAAATTAGAAGGGCCAAAAGAAGTGAGAGGAGCTGGCAGAACTGAGGCTTTAAGGAAAGAAAGAGGAGGGAGATGGACAGGGTGGTGGAGGCGGTGGAGAAGAGAGACAATGTGCATGTGTCAATTTGTCCAGAACTTTGGTCTAGAAATTTCTATAAATGTACTCCAGTCCAGTGCTCTCAACCCTGGCTTCACTGAGGATCTTTTTAAAACATACCGTACCAAGGCCACACCCCAGACCAGTAACAGGAGCATCTCTGCAGATGGAGCCCGGCTGGGGTGTTACTAAGGTACAGCGGTTTTGAGAATTCCTGCTTTAAATCCTTCTATTCCAAACAGGGTCATGGGACCAGCTGCTTCAGCATCATCTGGAAGCTTGTTGTAAGTGCAGTCTCGGACTCCACTCAGACCTACTGAATCAAAATCCACATCTAAGGTCCCCAGGCAATCCTTATACTTATTTAAGTTTGAGGTGGCCCCTCTGAATTTTGATCTACCCAAGGTTTTTCCCTAGTTTTTTTTTTGTCTTGTCATTTCTCCAACTTTAAGCTCATCCCAGTATTTGAAATATCATCTGCTGTGACTAGACCTAGATCCTGATTAACCATACGTGCTTGCTCTCAAAGGCCAGGCAAGAATGTTTTCCCCATTTCTCTGGCCATTTCCCCAGAGGCTTTCATTCCAACTGCACCTTCTGAACACCAGCCTGGAAGCCCCTCAGATGGCTGCACTTAATCATCTGGTGAAGGAGGACTCTGGCCGCAGGGGCACCCAGCAGCTCCAGGTCATCGTAGAAACAGACCAGCAGCCCCAGCCTGTGTGAGAAGATGAGGGAGGCTGATCAAGGGCTCAGAGCTGGGGGCCAGAGCCACAGCCCTGTCCCAGTCAGAACCAAGAGGGTCATGATCTTAGCAGTTACCATGTACCAGGTACCGTGCTGAGCTCTTCACATGGATTATCCCATCACAACAATCCTAGAAGGTAGGTGTGCTCATTAGCCCCATTTCACAGAAGGGCAAACTGATACTCAAAGTGATCAAGGACTTGCCCAAGGCACATAGTGGAGCCGGGAGTTAAATCTAGATCCAGCCAACTATGCCCCCTCTCCTCCTGGGTCAGTAAAGGCACAAGGAGAGCATGGTGCTAAATTAGCCACAGAAAACTCTCCATTTTCCACCTGAAGACTAGGGGTTGTCCACTCAGAGGCAGAGATTTATTTCCAGGATGCTTTACAGACTTCATCTCCAGATGATGATGATGATTTCAAAGGCAAGAAAAAGGAGGCAGAACAGTGCATGGGAAGAGGTGAGATTTGAAGCCTGGACTGGCTGGGAGCACTATACATAATAATTAGGAGCAACAATTCAAGCCAACTAAAGTCTGAAGCCCAGCTCTCTGAGATATTTGATCCAGCCAGTTACTTAATACCTCTGCAAGGCTGCTGCACTGTTGTGCAGTGCATACTCTGTACTACTGGACAGGGTGGTCCTGCGCCTCTGGGCCTTTAATGAAGGGGAGGTTTGCTTTGCTCATCATAGTAAATATGATGAACGCAGGAAGGAGGAATACTGTGAGCTCAATGAGAAGAGGCATACCAGCCAATTAGCATACTTCCTGGCAAGCAGCAAGCAGTCATTCATGAATGTATGCTTTTAGAGATAGTATAAAATCTACTCAGTTCAGCATGGCTGGACCACCTGGTTGACCATTCCTAACCTGGCTTCGTGCTCAGAAAGACACTGACATGCTCAGTCATGACCACCAGATAGCAACCACGTCAGGGGAAAGATGTGCAAATATGTCCAATGAGAAAAGAAGACCCAGGGGAAGTGAAGGCTGAATATTAATAATCATGTGAGGAATAACTAATATTTCTTAAGCACTTACTATGTGTCAGGTGTACATAATCCTTACCAAGACCTTAATGAGGTTGGCAGATTATTATGTCCCATTTTACAGGTGGGGAAACAGAGACTTAGAGGTGAAGCAACATGGACGGCCAAGATCACAGAACTTGTGAGTATAAAAGCCAGGATTAAACCCTGAAGCCTGATCCAGGCCCATGTTCTTAACCACTAAGCTATTTCTTTGTGTAACCATAGATACATGGGACCCATGCTAAGGGTGAAAATGACTAGGTATGGAGAAGAAAGTATGATAGTTTCACATGTAGACATTCTCTATGAGTGACTCCTGGAAAAAATTTAAGGTAATATGGTGATGTCAGAGGAGGCCGAGAGAGAGAGAAGATGGCTAAACAGGGCCCACCACCCTCCCCAGTGTACTCACACTGCCCCTGGCATTCAGACTCTCTCTGGGGTCACCAAGTGTACAACTGCTGGCCCTCTTCTGCTGGAAATGGTTTCTGGGGAGTCATGTTACAGCTGCTAAATTCCAGAGCTGATCTCACCTGAGGAGGGTCCCCAAATGAGAGTACAGACAACAAGGAGTTCACAAATATGGGGATACAGCTGACCCTTGAATGTGGGGGTTAGAGGCTGTTCAGGCACAGTTGAAAATCCATGCTTAACTTTGACTCCCCAGAAACTCAATTCCTAATAGCCTACTATTAGTAATACCTTGAAGCCTTACCTATAATATAAACAGTTAACAGATATTTGCATGTTATATGTATTATTTATTGTATTCTTATAATAAAAGTAAGCTAGAGGAAAGAAAGTATTTTTTTCAAATTGTTACAAATCACTAAAAATGTTTCCAATTATTTATTGAAAAAAATCCACATGCCAGTGGACCCGTGCAATTTAAACCTGTGTTGTTCAAGGGTCAACTGTATTTCTAATACTAGACCCAACCTAATGGAAATTGGACCTTTATCTTGGAATGGACTCAGAGCACTGAGTATTAAAAATGTTACATTTCCATGCCCAGAGCTGAGATTTAGTACTGATAAGGTTGCATAAAATGCCTGTCATACAGGAGAGGCTCAGAGAGCATTTGTTCCCACCCATCCACCCCCACCACTTTTAACCCCCTCAAAGAGTGCTTCTTTGAGGGAGACTCCCCCGCCCAGCACATTCAAGAGACATGGGACCATTCAAAGACATGGAACAGCCACCTCCCTTCTCCCACAGGGTCCTCTGCTGCTCAGAGGAAGCAGGCACTTAGATCGCAGCTCGGCGGGCCCAGAGCCCCCACCCCTTGCCTGTGGATGGTAGAGGTATTCCTCATGTCAAAGTTGGAGGAGCTGATCCTCTCCAGAAACACCTGGGCCAGTTCAGGTGTGATGTCATAAATCGTGTCCAGCTGCTTGGTGGCATTGTCATAGCTGATAAACAGTCCAATCTGGTGGACAAGAACAGGAAGATCAGCAAGGAGGGTGCAAGTGGCTCTGAGCACCCACCTGCTGGTCTGTGCTGTGCCTCATCTCAGACACTGGGATTCCTCATGGGCCACTGATTTCTTAAGGGCCCATAGCTACTGCTTCAACCCAGCTGTTACTTTTTAAAGTATTATTTTTTTACTATCCAAGCAGTCAAACTTTTATAAGGCTAATATTGGCACATTTATTTCCAGATATATTACACTGCAGTCAGAGAATGTGGTCCACAAATGTTCTGCTTTGGGAAATCAGAGGATTTTCTTAACAGATGAGTAAGTTTATAAATGGTTCTCGGGTGATCAAAAAAGGTTACGTGTTCCCTTTGCACGACACAAACATACATGTTCAACTTTATTAAATACAGTATTCAGATTCTTTCTCTTCTTGTTCACTTTTTGCCTGTGTGTCCAAGAGTATCACATTGAATTCTCCTGCATTTTGATGCACTGTTTTTCTGTGCTCATAAAGTTGTCTTTCCCTGGATTTTACTCTTTGTCCACATAAAATCCTCTCTCAGTATTAGCCCTCTGTGGCTTCACTTCCATTCTCTACCTTTTTAGATGATGAAGCCAAACTGGCAGTGGCCTCTTGTTCTTCAGTTGACCCTGCTAGGGGCCCAGCTTCCTAAGAATTTAACCTCTACTTCCTGAAATTCATTCAACATTGGGAGAATAAAATGAAGGTTTAATCCATTTTTATAAATGATGGTTATAAAATTGCAAAGACCTGTGAAATATTCCCAGCCTCCTAGGTAAAAAGAACCTAGTCCAACCCCCTGGTTTCGGATATTGTTGGGTCAGCTGGTCCTTGAACAAGCCAGTTGTTTGATGCAAACACCTCTCCCTGGCCAGGAGAAAGTCACCGCACACATGGTAAAAACTGGAGGCAAGCCCCAAACTCTTCATGAATGCCTCCCTGCTAGTAGCATTCTTTGGAGGCTACATTCCAGAATCGTGATACCCAAGGGATTTTAGTATCCCTGGGTCAACATCAGGAGGAGACAGGCTAACCAAGGAGTTGAGTAACCTTAAGACATGTACATTTCCCCACTCTAATCTCTAGAGTTACAATGCCATTATTGCTCATGCTGAAAGAGGTATCAATAGAAGTAGCTATAAATAGAAGTAGCTATTAATCCATGTTGCTTTTGATTTGGGTGCATGCTTCCAAAAACCGGAAACTTTATAGCTATTGTCCTTGGTACAAAAATACCCTTAAATGATTTTGGGTTCGTGGTCAGCATTCTCTTTTTATCATGTTGGTTCACATCACAGCTCTCTTGGTTGACCACAATTCTTTTCCTTTCCTTAGCTCTTCTGTACTAGAACACAATCTGATGACTGACCACTTGTGGCCTTGTTCCAAGGCTTTTCTTTAGAGGCTCAGGTTATATTCGGCTGAGCTGGGCATCCAATTTCCAGGTCCCCTGGACTGGCTGGCTGAACGTGAGAGGTTTACAATATACCTGCCTCCAGATATGTTAGTGATAGGGACATGTAAATGTACTTTTCCAACTTACTTCTATAGGACTAATTTTCATAATTTCTTCAAATGAAAGGTGAACCATATATCTGCCCAAAATCCATAAGTTTTCTGCACTGACCCATGAAACAGACTCATCTGGAAAAAAACAGGATAAATAAGTACATTAAATAAATGAATAAACAAAAGCCTTTGCACTAGCATGTGATATAGGCAAAAGCAGCTTTGATGGCAGGACCTCCTTCTTGCATTCATCAATTCACTGATTCCCTCAACAACCATTCATGGACAGCCTCCTGCCTATGAGGCACTACGTTATACAAAGAAAATCAGATGCCCACCACCTGAAGCTTTGTTACACAATAGTGTGGTTCCTCAACCAGCAGCATCGGTATCATCAGGGAACTTGTCAGAAATGCAGATGATTCTTTAAAGCTTAAGACCACAAAATACAGTTTTATTTTTAGTTTACTTCGTTACTAACTTGAAACACATCTGACTCTTTTATTACTGCCAGTAGCGATCATTCTCTTCCTTATTGATCATCACCATCCTTGCTACTCTACTTGAGTCAAACCACACGACTTACCCTTCCTCGAATGCACCCCGGACATTCTCCAAACATCTAGCTTGTGAGCTTCTCCTCAGCTAGAATGCCTTTCCCTTGGCCCTTCGGCTTCTAAATCCTCCTTCAAAATTGAGCTCAAACATTTCCTCTACCTTAAAGCCTTTTCTTACCCCTCAGCCAGAAGTGATCTCTCCTGCCTCTGACTTCCCAGAGGACTCTTTCTGTCACTGTGTGCAGGCATCTGACATTCCCCATGAGCACAATGTCGGGGGAAGACTAAGAACCATCCTGTCCAGGATCCAACTCCAAGTTTCACTGAGCTAGTTTCATTGCTGCCAATCCTTCAGTAAAAGACTGACACACAATCATGTTGTGCTAGTGGTATTTTGGGGAAATGAAAGCAGCAGGGGAGCATTTCTAGGGGAACAGCCAAGCACTACTGCAGGAAGCCATGGGCAACGGCTGATGCCCACATGAGAAAATCAGCCACTGCATATGGGCTGCATCATAAAAACATGAGCGCCTCCCCACCCAGAAATGAGAGCTGCTGGGGTGAGCACAGAAGCACCCTGTGGTCCGCTAGATGAGATGAGTCCTCTGAATGTTTGACTTAGTTATTAGAAGGCTGGCCCCAGAATACTAGAGAATCGGGGCATGGGGAACCAACTCAATTCACCAAGAACCAAACTGAGTTGTTCGTTTTAAATTAACTATTGAGCATGAACTGTATTTCTACAGACCAATGATCCCCCAACTTGGGGTATTTTTCATACCCAAACTATTTTCAGTTACCTCAAGGAATTTCATGACAAATAAAAAGTTTTAAGTTAATAGAATTCATTTTAATTCACTTTAGTGTAATAATGAGACATAGCACATAGGAATTTTAGAAGGAAACTCTTTCTCTAATTAAATTCTAGCAATAAGGATTTTGGGAAATTTAGAGGTTGACTGGCCTTCTCGGGGTTACATAGGTAAGATTCAGATTTCTGGAAGCCATAACTATGCATGTGGCAGAGCGGATTCTGCCTTACACTGAAGACATTGATCATTCTGTAGTTTATGCTCCTTTTACACAAATCTCAGAGCTTAATTCCAGGAAAAGGTTTGACTGGCATTGCCTACACTTCAAACCCACAGGCTTTCTTTATGCTCCCTAAAAACACAGAGCTCATTCCCACTGCAGGGCCTTTGTATGTGCTGTTTCCCCTGCCTGGAATGCCCTTCCTCCAGAGCCTCGCACGGCCGATTTCATTTCTCTGTTGCAGTCTCAATTCAAACGTCCAGCCATCTCTGACTCCTTAGAGCAGGGCTGTCAAACTTCAGCCCCATAGGTCAAATCTGTCCCACCATCTGTTTTTGTACTACCAGAGGGCTTGGTTTTTATACGTTTAAATAGTTGATAGGAAAATCAAGAGTATTTTGTGACATGTGAAAACTACAGGAAATTCAAATTTCAGTGCCCACAAATGAAGTTTTTTAGAACACAGCCTCACCTATTCATTTACTGTCTACATCTGTTTTTGTGCTATAAATCAGACTGAATAGTTGAGACAGAAATTGTAGGCCCACAAAGCCTTATCTATTTACTCTGGCCCTTTATAGAAAATGTTTGCCAAGACCTCTTCCAGTCTAAAGTAGTAAGCCTTTCCATCACTTAAGTATTTTTTTTTTCAAAGCAGTTGCTATTATGTGTTATCTTCCTTTTTTTTAATTTACTTGTTTAAAATTTTTTCTCCGCCAACCCTCCCACAATAAAACAATAGCAACATGAGAGCAAAACCTTTGTCTTATTTTCCTGTGTCCTCTGTAACTGACAAATAATAGGCTTTTGTTTAAATGTTTAGAAAGTTGATTGTTTACATTACTGATACTTGTTCAACTCAACAAGTTGAAAGTATCCCAGAAATTGTTTGCATTAATAAGCCACATAACCATTTTCTTTTTCTCTTTTGTTCTTCAAGTACAGTAAAACACACATAACATAAAATGTACTACCTTAACTATTTTTAAGTTCAAAGTGCAGTGGTATTTAAGTACATTCATTTCACTGTGCAACCATCACCACCATCGATTTCTGGAACTTTTTTTGTCTGGCAAAACTGAAACTCTGGACCCATTCAACACTAATTCCCCATTCCTCCCTGCCCCCAACTCCCGGAAGGACCATTCTATTTTCTATCTTTATGAATTTGACCACCCTAGGACACAGTAGGTTTTTAATAAACCTCTACAAAATAAATAAATACTGACTGACCTATTCCTGCTTTGGTTACTAGGAAGCTTAGTGCTTAATTTCTGTGTTTTATTGCCTAGTTTTCTTTTAAAAATTATTTTATCCCACTTCAACAAATTTTTTTATACAGATTTTGAACTTGTAACCTTATTCAAAAGATTTTCCTCGAATCTAAGATGCCATCTTTATTTATGTTCCTCTTAGAAACTAGGGCACGCCATGGATTGTAAGGAACAGATGCATCCTTGACACAGAGATGACAACGTGTGAGAAGTGCGCTGATGAAATGAGCTATGTGTTTTACTGCATAAGCCACATCAAACCCTTTATGGAAGTCAGGGAAGGGGTGGGGGGGGGGTTCGCAGGTAAAAATTGTGACAATGAGATCAAATCCCTGTCTTTAGAGTCAAAGCACCTCTTTTAAGGATGAGCTCTCCCTTAAAAGGGGATTCCGCCTCAAAGCATGGGCTCACCAGTGGCGTTGAAGGAGGTCTGCAAAATCCCAGCCATCCAGAAGTACAAAGCTCTCTGGGAATGAGCAGAGGTTTGGTCGTAGAGATCTTTGAATACGGCAGATCTAAATGACACAAGATGGGCATCAATTAAGGAACAAACAGGTGGGGGCACCCTGAGGTCACGTCAAAACAGCCAACACACACCAAGCTGTCTTGTGTTTAAAAACCCTTCCCACTTCCTTGCTGTATGTAGCTGTTTTCCCATCTCTCTTTTACAACTGAATACCTTCCAAAGAATGGGCTCCACTGCCTCACCTCTTGGTCGCTTTTTTTTTTCAATAACAGCTTTATGGAGATACAATTCACATACCATATAATTTGCCCATTGAAAGTGTACAATTCAAGGGTTTCCACTATATTGAGATTGTGCAAACCTCACCACAATCTAGTCTAGAACATTTTAAGCCTCTCAAAAAGAAACCTCGCCCTTGTTAGCTATGATCCCTCAGCCCTGAGTCAGCCCAACCCCTACAAACTGCTAATCTACCTTCTGTGTCTGTAGAGTTGCCTCTGCTGGACATTTCAGATAAATGAAATCACACAGCATGTCATCGTTGTGTCTGGCAACTTTCACTTGGCATGAAGTTTTCAAGGTGCATGCACATTGGACCATGTGTCAGTACTTCCTTTGCTTCTATGGCCAATAATATTCCATTGCATGAATCCACCACCTTCCATTTATCTATTCATCAGTTGATGGACATCTGGGCTGTGTCCAGCTTTTGTTGATTATGAATAATACTGCTGTAAACATTCATGTCCAAATTTCTCTTGGGTATATACACCCAGGAGGGGTACTACTGCTGGTTAAATGGTAATCCTATGTTTAGCCTTTTGAAACTGCCAGACTGTTTTCCAAAGTAATGGCACCATTTTATGTTCTCACCAACAGTGTATGAGGGTTTTAATTTCCCCACACCCTCACCAACACTTGTTGTTATGACACTGGGATTATGACGTCCTGCTGGGTTTGAAGTATCTTGGCCACTTTTTAAGCCACTGCAGTGTGGCCCAAGCGGCCGATGACCTCCCTGTTGCCGTATCCAGCAGTGCACTTCAGTCCAAACATACCTCACCGCTCACAGCATTAGGCCCTGAGCACCCCTCGGCTTCATCAAGCAAAGCAGTTGAGTCTCCTCATCCTGGAAACCCTTTCCCCTACCCCACCCCCTCACGAAAATTAATTCACCAAAACACTAATTCAACAACCTTTTCAAATCTTAATTGATCCCTGCCACTCCCCCAGTCATTTCCTATGTGACTAGGCAAACTTTCCCTTAAATCCATCTGAATATCCTCTCTCTGTATTTTTTCATTTCTCCTTTCATTTGTTTTTTCATACAAGCAGCAGAATAGGTAAAGAGAACAGGAGATACATAGAGCTCTGGGGAAATGGTAAACATCATTTAAGAGAAAGATTGCCCCTTTGCAAAAAAAATGATATGATGGCTCTATCATTCCCTAGTAGTCTGACCCACAGCAAGTTATTTAATCTCTCTGTGCCTCAATTGTCCTCATCTGAGAAATGGTTATGGGATTCATGACACCATCCTCACAAGCAGAGGGACAGGAAAGTAGCATAGGAAGAGGACAAACTTGGGTTCAGGGGACCTGAGTTGAGTTCAGATTAAGCCACATCCCATGGGGTTCCCTCAGGGAACCCATCTCTCTTAAGGCCTTAGTTTCTTCATCTATAAAAGGAAGGATTGGATTATATCATTCCCATTAGAATGATTTCATCCTGAGCCCCTCTCAAGAACTGAGCAAATTCTGGACACCCTCTCAAGAACTGAGAAGCTTATATACTGTTGGTGATAGTGTAAAATGGTGCTGTTCCTTTTGAAAACAGCCTGGCAGTTCCTCAAAAGGCTAAATAGAGTTGCTGTTTAACCCAGCAATTTCACTCCTGGGTATGTATCCAAGAGAAATGAAAACATACGTCCACACAAAAGCTTCTACATGACTGCTTACAGCAGCATTATTTGTTATAGACACTGTAATTAGTAAAAGCAGGGAGCTGGCAGCAGTACCAACACATAAGGTCTGTCAAGTTGTCTTTTTGTCTGCAAGAATGTTCCTTTCCCCCAGCACTTATTTGGGGTCTATGAAAATTTTTTTGTAGTGGACATCTGTGGGGTGTGACTGTCAAGCATCCATCCCCCCTTTACTCATACCAGCACCTCCATTTTTCTTGGGGAAATTACATTTTTCCCACTCTGGATCCATGTTGTTTGGGCAGGATTGTGACCCACATCTAAGCCATTCAGCTTATTAGATCTCACTGGCCACAGTGACTGACTCAAGAATGGGCACATGACCCAGTCTGCACCCATGAGAACCCAGTCTAGGACTTTGCTTGGAACTGCTGGAAAGAGACTGCCTCGTCTGGATGGGAAACTGCGGAAGCGGGCCTGGAGCGCCTCGTGGAGAGAGCCTGCCTGAGAGCAAGGCCAACCCAGAGGAGGGCAGGTCTCCGAGAGAGTCAGAGACATTCCTGATGGCATCTGAGTTTCTGGATCCAACTGTGCCTGAAGTCAGCCCTACACCTAAAACTATACAATTATGTGATCCAACAATTCCCCTTTTGAAATGGGAACTTCAAAATAATTTGAATGAGTTTTCTGACCCTTGCAATCAGGTGAGCAGTGACCAGATAAGCTCCCTCACACAATTATATTCTTTCCACCTCCAATCCCACCAGCATACTGCCTTGGTGGGTGGGGGAGAGGCAAGAGGCTGAGTTTAGAGGGATTGTGCGATGGTATGCAGAGCAAAGGGGGTTCATGTGCTACGTCTCTGTCGAGATATGGACAACTTAGAGACAAAATGAGATCAGTGTGTTGTCTCCTTCCCTGACAGTCCTTTGGCTGCTGAAAAAAGAAAACGACAGAACCTCCCAAGTTGTCATCATTTTGTTCTTTTCCTTGTAAACCATTTTAGATTTGGAAAAGGTCTTTTAGGGCCATGAAGAGATACACAGCTGACCCTTAAACAACATAGTTTTGAACTACACAGATTTTTCAAAATATGTTGGAAATCTTTTTGGAGATTTGTGAAAATACAGGAAAACAGAAGAACCATATAGCCTAGAAATATTCAAAAAATTAAGAAAAAGGTATGTCATGAATACACAGAATACGGATGCTAGTCTATGCTATCATTTACTACCATGAAATCAACAGTAGGCATTAGTTGTTAAGTTTTGGGGGAGCCAAAATTATATGCAGATGTTTTACTGCACAGGGATGGGGGTCAGCCCCCATAACCCACATGCTGTTAAGGGTCAACTGTGATTAGTAAAAGCAGGGAGCTGGCAGGGGCAACAATGCCTAGGATCCTTCGATTCTAGACACAGTCCTCTTACTTGAGGTTCCCACAGTGTAATTTCACACAGGGTTTGGTGCTAACAAACATTAGCATCTCCAAAGGAGAAAGGTATTCCCTTTATGGGGCTCCGTCAGTCCTGCTGCCCCTCAAGGAGAAAGTCCCAGTTTGGTGCTAGTGACTCCAACACACACTCGGCTCCTTTTTTAACCAAGAGAACAGGCCCCAGGCCCAGTGCCTTGGAAAGCAACATATCTAGCTACGGTTTAGTGACGCTCTGTTCTTTTTTCCTTATTATTACTATTCTATATCTTTTTATGATCACTTTTATATAAGACAAATGATACTCATTTCCCATTTGCAGTAATGACAAACAATTTACCTGTTAAAATAAATAGTAAGTAAAAAGAATGAGTCACAGTAAAGAAAAGCATGAGTCAGCAATAGCACAGATGATGTATAGATATGGCCAAAATTGTGAGTGGTATCAGAATGACTGAAATATGGGAGACGCCTTTTTCATCAAACCATCTCTAAACTGCACAGAGTTTAAGCTATGCTCCAGACCTCACGTATTAACCTGTCCATGCTGCTTTCTCCCCCTGCCATATATTCCCGCCTTGAATTCTCCCAACAGCCCCTGAGGGGCGGTGATGGTCAGAGGGCTGGACGAGGCACTCACAGGTTCTTGAAGGCGTCCTCGCGCAGGTCCCAGGGAAGCCTCTCTGTGACGTCCGACTGGAGAAAGCTGCCTGAGGATCCCCTCAGCACCCTACCCAAGACTTCCACACACTCCAGGGAGTTCAGCACCTGGAAACACCTCTCCAGCGTGATGAGAAACAGGCTGCGGTTCACGCCTGGGCTCTGCAAGGCATGTTTCCGAACCTCTCCCAAGTCAATAACTACATCTTCCAGTTCCTAAAGGAATGAAAGAGGGAAGGGTTGTCTTGAAGACGGCCTCTCGATTCCGAAGCCCTGGGAGGTAGTGCACTTAGCATCAGTGGGGAAATTCAGGACCCCTGTTTAACACCATGCTGCTATGCCAAACCTTCTAGAACTTTCCATCTCCTACAGAACAAAGTCAAGGCCTGCTTCACTTGTGCCAGGTAACTTCTCACTCTCTCAATACACCATGACTGTCACGCTTCAGGCCCTTGCTGTAGCTGGAATTTCACCCTACCTCCTTCTTCTAGTGAAATCTAGCTCATCCTTTAAGGCTGAGCTCAACTTCTCTAATGTCCTGTAACATCCTCCTATTTTGGTCAATCAAATTTCCCCCCACTATGTGTTCCCAAGAGCATCCTAAGCCAAACTCTATGATGTGCAGAGATGCTTATGGGTGTCTTTCCTCCGCACCAAGTGGTCTTCAACCCTAGCTGTACATCAGAATTACTGGGGCAGTGATCCCCAGTACCACCATACAGAGTCTAATGTAACTGCTCTGGGGTGGAGCCCAGGCATCTGACTGTAGTGTGCAGCTGGGGTTGAGCCTGACAAGTACTTGAGACTCAAGCCATATATCTAGTGGAATGCCTACTCCCTAGAAGACACACAGAAACTGCCTATTAGAATGCATGCATGGATGAATCCATGAAGGAATGAATCTTTTGACCCTTAGAACCTAGGAATGCTAATAAAGTTCAGTCACAGTCTGATTGGTACCTCAGTCCTTCACCCAACGTGTCCCATGAAAATAATAACCACCATTTACTAAGCATTGATTACACACTAGACACTATGCCAGGCATGGAGCAAACATATCTTCTCCCCTAATTCTCATGACAATCCTACAGACTAAACCCAATAGGTCTGAAAGTTAGACATTCCTAGGTTCAAATACCAGGCCCTCCACTTATTATCTGTGTGTCCTCAAGCCAATCACTTATCTTTCTCAAGTCTCAGTATCTTCCTCTGTGAAATGGAAATAAAATAAGTGGTTCCTACATTAGATTTGTTCCCACCTCTTAGATTTGTATAAGCACCCCTATGGTTATTGCTGCACTGTTTGCAATAGCCAAGATATGGAAGCAATCTAAGTGTCCATGAATAGATGAATGGGTAAAGAAGAGGTGGTTCATATACACAATGGAATATTATTCAGCCATAAAAAGAAAACAAACCCTATCATTTGCAACAACATGGATGGAGCTAGAGGATATTATGCTCAATGAAATAAGCCAGGCAGAGAAAGCAAAGAACCAAATGACTTCACTCATTTGTGGAGCGTAACAACAAAGCAAAACTGAAGAAACAAAACAGCAGCAAACTCACTCCGAGAAGGGACTAGTGGTTACCAAAGGGGAGGGGTGTGGTAGGGTAGATGGGGAGGTAGGGAGAAGGGGATTAAGGGGCATTATGATTAGCACCCATAATGTAGGGGGATCACGGGGAAGGCAGTACAGCACAACGAAGACAAGTTATGACCCTATAGCATCTTACTATGCTGGTGGACAGTGACTGTAATCGGGTATGTGGTGGGGATTTGATAATGGGGGGAATGTAGTAACCACAATGTTGTCCATGTGAAACCATCATAAGATTGTATTCAATGATACTTTAATAATAAAAAAAATAATTGAATGAGATAACGAATGAAGGGTGCCTGGTACCTGGTGAACACTCACAAATATTAAATGCGGTTATTAGCTCAATATCACAGGTGATGAAAACAAGAGAGAATAAGCCACCCGCCCAAGCATACGCAGAGCTGGGGTCTGAAACAAGAATATCTGAGTCCAACGGTAACCAGGTGTTTCCTAACTTCAGTCATTTTCTGTAGGAACTAAGTTAAAGGTAGTAGTTAAGAGAGCAATTTAAGGGATCTTAAGCAGGGGTCTGTGGATAGAATTTAGGGCATCTGTGAACATTAGGGGAAAATTGTGTCATTTTCACTGTCACAGAACTGACATGAGGCATTTCCTTCAGGGATAAATGCAGGCAACAAGCTACCAAGGCGGCAGCAGAACTTTTGATTTGTCATCAGTAAGAATCAGACACTTTCATAGTACGTTCCAGCCGCTGCAGATGTCTTGAAATCTCGTTTACACTCAACACTTCTGCAAAATTACAGAAGCTATCTAGACCCACTGCTAAATCTTATCACTGGATGTGTGAAAGATGCACATACATTACTATGCCCCAAATTTGTTTGTTCTACATATGTTGATAAATGTCTTTCAATATAATTGACTTCCTTTGTAATCCTCAGTACTACTTTATAGATTTTTAAAACCTTATTCTAATAAGGGATCCATGGGCTTCCCCAGATGCCAAAAGGGCTCACAGCTGGAGTCGGGAACCCCAGGTCCCAAGCTCAGATTTGTCACTTTCAAGCAGGGTAATAATGCAAAGTCGCTTGTGCAACCTCTCCAAGCCTGTCTCTCATCTGAATATTGAAATGGTAAGATATTTCAGAAGGTCCTGGAGAGGATTCAATGGGTCCATGCATATTAAGCCCTTAAACTATGGCTCATAGGCCAAATCCATCCCATTGTCTGTTTTTTGTGAATAAAGTTTTACTGGAACACATCCACGCCAATTCATTTACCTGCCATCCATGGCTGCTTTCCTGCAACAACAGAAATGAATAGTTCTGACAGAGAATGTATGGTCTGCAAAACCTAAAATATTTGCTACTGGGACCTTTAGAGAAACAGCTTGCTGACCCAGTCCCTTAGAATAACAACTGACACATAGTTAACCCTCAATAAACATTAAATATTTTCCCAGACTACCGTCCTTGTTTTTGCCATATCTTTGTACTGCCTTCACTATTATTTACCTCATATTTTTCTTTAAACTGACTCTTTTTAAGGTTTTAATTAATTTTCCTGAGGATTGTCATGAGAATTATAGGAGAAGATATGTTTGCTCTATGCTTGGGATAGTGTCTAGTGTGTAATCAATGCTCAGGGAACTACATCTCTACCAAACTCACAGTTTTGATATCAATTCTACTTTAATAACAGACATTACACTACATCTGTGCTTATTAAAATGTTTAAATAGTTCAACTCCTTTTAGGAAACACTATGCTACACCAAACTGTCTCTGATAAAGAACTCTCTAAGCCTCACCTTGCTGGGTCCCAAGGGTTTCCTGGGTCCCTGAGGCCTTGCTTTGTGATGCTCTTCTATCACCAACCTCATTTTGTGGACGGCTTTTGTGTCCCCTCCAGACTGTAAACTCCTTGAAGGCAGGGACAGTCAGTCTCTCATCTTTGAGCCTGGTGCCCACTGGTACATAGTAATCATTCATGAATATTTACTGAGCCAAACTATTGGACCCCTCATTCCTTACTACCCATGAGAATATAAACTACAAGGCTCTTCATATGAACTTTGAAGAAAATGAGGAAACTGACTCCCAAGGATCCCAGGGGGGCTGCAGAGAAAGAGGTGGAAGAAAGCATTGAGAAAGGGCCATGACCTGAGTCAGGCTCAGTTCAATTCAGAAACTCAACAAATACCAACTGGCCCTGGACTTCCCCTGCTCCCAAGATGCCAAAAATTCCCACCAAGAGGTCTTTCTTGTCCTCTAAGAGGTATTTCATGGCAGTGTGGAATCGCTGAGCTTCCATTTCCCTCAGGTCCTCCAGCAGTTTCTGGGGCTGGTACAAACGCTGCTCCAGGTGGTTTTCCATGGCTGCCTGAGGACAGAACAGGGGCACATGGTCAGCACCATGGCCAGCAGCCCCACCAGGCCACCTGCTTCTGGCAGAGACCACAAGCTGGCAGCCAGCAGACATGTCTGGTTTGGCAGGCTCCAGAATTTTTCATTAGCTGTGAACATTTAAAAGTCAAGGGATTCCCCACAAAAAATCCAGACTTTCAACTTCTCTTGATAAACAAAAAGATTTGGCACCACTGGACATCCACCCATTGCTGGTGCTAATCAGAAGGCAGAGGTGCAGCTGCTCACTGTAATTATTCTCCTCACTGCCCGCTCAGCAGCCGATTTCCCCCATGGCCTGCCTAGTCCCTATAGGTGATTGTGATTAAAGTCCAGAGCATCTGACCATTGCTCAGAAAGTTTACTCCCCCAAAATGTGCACAGCTCAAACCTCTCTCATGCCCCAAGCTACAAGTGCAGAAGCAAAAATTAGGCAGCAGGAACATGGAGGAGAGGCCGGCAGCCTCTCCTGAAAGGGGGTTCCTCTGCTACCTGGGGAATGCTTTCCTACATCTGTCTTCCAGAGGGGTGCTTTAAGACAGCACAGTGTGATGTCACAGGCAAAGCTGGGCTCCAGAACCAGGCAACCTATGTGCAAGTTCCTCACCTTGCCACGTACCAGCTGTGTGACCTTCGGCAAGTTCCTTAACCAAGACTGCTAGATATAATCCAAGATGCCCAGTTAAGTTTGAATTAAGATAAGCAATGAACAGTTTTTTTAACATAAGTTATGTCCCAAATATTGCATGGGACATATACTAAAAAAAATTATTCGTTGTTTATCTGTGAGTCAAATGGGCATCCTGGACTTTTACTTGCTATATGGGCAACATGAATTCTGGGCCTCAATTTCTCAACTGAAAAAGCAAAACAATAGAAGGACTTACCATATAAGTTATTATAAGGATTACATGAGTGTGTAAAGTGTTTTCAATAGTGCCTGGCACACAGTAAGTGGTCAATAAGTGCCAATAAGCTTTTACTTTCCATCCTGAATGAGATGAATAATTATTTACTCAAGGTCTCTCCCCTTAGAACGAAAGAACTGTGTGGGTAGTAATGTGAGTCTCCAGTGTCTAGAACTGTGCCTGACAGAGGGTAGAGACTACATGAATAGATATTGAATGAATAAATGAATATGCATATAGTGCATCTACTAACCAGGTTAAAATATAAACATCTCATGAGAAACCCTACTTGTAGAGGGGTAGGCATTACTTCTCTTTAGGTTGCAACAGGTTAATAAACAGGAGGGAAAAAGCAGGTGCCATGAGGCCAAAGACTGCCTCCAACTGGAGCGTGTCCTGGTGAATGGTTCACAACCAGCTCTCCGAGTGCGGCTCACATGTGAATGTTGACTGACATTTTAATTTTCATTATGAAGTAAGTAAAAATTGAAACAACAAAGATATAGGTCAGAACTTCGTCAATGACATGACTTCTTTGCTGAGTCAGATAATAGTTTGTGAATGCTGAAAGAGTATTTCCTCAGTTTTCTGTGTAATGGTAAAGACATGACACACCATGCTGGGCTAATGATCATGCTGATGAGGCATGTGCTCTCCAGTTCACCGCAGTCCCCACTGTGCCCTATTGCTCTCTAAGGCAAATATCATTAACATACTTAATGTTAAAGTATCTATTAACATATTTATGCTACAGTGTTTCTTACAGTAGAATTAAAAGGGAGGAAAAATATTTCTTGGACCCATGACTTAGAGAGCAACAATTATACACTTATTTCCTATAATTTCTTTCAGCAATAGAATCCCACAAGATTTAGCTGGGCAGCTGGCCTCTCAGAAGGGCCTCTCATCTTACTGCTCCACAGTAGGATTTGATTATGGACTGTGGACCAACAGAATGTGACCAGAAGGAGTTATGCGACTTGTAGGTCACAACCTTACAGAGAAGCAGCTCACTCTTCACTTTCTCTTTCCTATCACCCCTTCCTCTGGGCTGGAGACTGGATGTGCTGTTCAACCATATGGCCAGCAACCCCCTCAAAGATGGTCAAGCACTAGGGCAAAGGGAACCTGGGCCCCTGGATGGTCTTTGGAAAAGGAGCTGCCTCTCCTCTCTGGATCTCCTACCTAACTCGGGACTATTACATGAGACAGAAAGGAACCATTTGAGCTGCTGTGATTCTGGTTCTTTTTGTTACAGCAGCTTAGCTTATGCCCTAATACATCACATCTCCAGCAAAGGTGGAAAAATGAAGGACAGACAAAAGAATTTGTATCATGATTCAAGAAAAACTGGCAGAACACACTTCTTTGTGGAAATGAAGACTAGCGCTATATCTAGCCCACTTCTTCAACTTACCTGGCCCAAGTTTTCAGTCCCTGAGCACTGAGAGGGGAACATATGGATGGGTCTCAGGTACACACCTGCAGGCTGGGGATAGTGAAGGCAACATTCTGCAAATTCAGATAGGCCAGGACTTTGTGGGAAAGGTCTGCTGTCCACAGATGGGAGCTGCAGTCAAAGACATATGGGAGAAGGTCACAATGGCAGGTTCCCCTCTGAGTAGTAGTTCCCCTTCTAGCTGAATGCTCAGAGGACCAGAGGATGCTACGAACTTTGTGCTTGGAGGTAGGAGATTCGTTGATCTAGCACAAGGGTGAGGTAGTTTCCAATTCTTGGAATCTGCCTAGATTCCACTCTCTCAAAACAAACTATCAATTTCTGAGCTGCGTGCATTTAGTCTAATTCCCATAACAAACATGCAGATTAACCACAATCCAAACAAATTGACTTGGAAAGATTTCTTACTATATTAAATTTAAAAAGCAGATACTACATATATCACAAGAGGCTGGAATAGCATAGTTAAGAGTATGGGCTCAAGACCTTGATTTGGACCCTGGCTCTACCACTTAACTGTGTGGCCTTAGGCAATTTATTGAATTTTCCTGTGCCCCAGTTTCCCTTTCCATGCAAAATAGTTGACAACTGTAAGGATGTGGTTCATTCACACATGGAAAGTCTTAAAACATATAGAAAATGCAGTTTCATGAACAACAGCAAAAAACTGAAAACAACTCTACTGTTCAACGACAGGTGAAAAGTTAAGCAAAATGATATGTCCATTCAATGGAATAGCACTCATCAGCAAAAAAGGAATAAGTTGGACCTTTGCTTCCAGTTATGATTGTGTAATTGGCAATGGAAAAATCCTCCTGCCTTAAACAAGTAGAAGGCCTATAATCCCATTTTTGTTATTACACAGATAAAAAGATAGATAGATAGATAGATGATAGATAGATAGATAGATAGATAGATAGATAGATAGATAGATAGATAGATTAGGGCTCTTTCTAGCTATTTATCCCCCTGCCTCATGTCCCCAGCAACTAATAGCAGCCCAGTATACCAATATACCAATAGCAGTCCTATGTACTAGGAGAGTGAGGGCAACAGGCCATGGAGCCAGGCTGCTGGATACACACCGCAGCTCCACCACTTCCCAGCTGAGGGACCTTGATTCACCCTCCCTGTGCCTCAGTTTCATTTTTCTGTCCAATGGGATAACAACAGGGCCTACCCTGGGGGTGCCTACAAGGATTACATGTGTTTCTATACATAAGCACTTAGACTAGTGTCTGCTACATAGTAAGCACCCCATAAATGTCAGCTCTTGAGCTAGAGCATAGAGGAATACCTGTTTGTGGAACAAATGTGTCTACTCTAAAACACTTGTGTATTGTCTGACGTTTTTTATGAGTGCGTATTTCTTTTTACAATTAAGCATTTTAATTAAACATCTATTCCATCCTACCCCTTCCCCTCTAGGGTAGGTTACCTTTGAAATTGTATGAGATCCAGTAATGCTACAATGGGAATAAAATGAAAAGACAACTTAAAAAGGAATCATTCCAGAGAGATCACAAGCACAATCTGCTTGAAATTTTTAGAAGCTGCAAGGGACAGAGTGGGGATATTACCATTCAGGTAGCTTCCATCTATTATTTCTTCCTAAAAGACAAAGAGAGAGAGTGAAGCATAAAGTACAAAAGTTGGAAGTTCCAGTAGAGGGGCTTTTGATTAAAAGAAAATGGAATACTCACTGCCATTTTTTGCAACAACGGATGCAGATCTGTAAGAAAGCCAATGAATGTATAACTAGAATTGAATTCCACGATCTTCAAAAATACAAATATGAGTTAGGAAAAGAGCCCCCCCTCCCTCCAAAAGTCACTCATGAAAGAAAATTTCAGTGAATTTTAATTTTATCTGTGCTCATATGGGCCTAGGATGAGAAAACCCTGCTTTGAAAAACCCTTTTAGAATAATTCTGAAACTCCTACACATTTGTATGTACACATGCACACACACATGCACATCCCAAAACTTTTCACAGCATCACCCTAAATTGATCTATCCCCACATTTTGTAAGATGTACAGGAACCATGACAGATGATGACTTACCTTGCCTGGAACTTGGAGCACTGTGACTTGCCATTTCATGGTTCAGAAAAAGGAACAGGAAAAGAGAGTATGTCCTAGGTTTCTGAGGCATTCTCCTGTAGTTAATTCAAGCATAGAAGTGACTCAGGCTTATATTTTTTTTAATATAGTTAAGGACATGGAGAAGACAAAAGGGAAAAACAAATAGGCCCAGAATCTCTTGAGGCCCTTTTTAAAATAAATTTAAAATCCCATCTACTTTGCTCCATTTAAACCCCATACTAGTCTAATATACAATCACCTCTCTCCTTGATGACAGCAATGGATTGTTTATATTCTTACACCCTCTTCTATTCCCCTCAATCCAGCAGAGGAGTGATTAAAGCATGGACTTTGTTATAGCTGTCAAGGAATTTATATCTAGAATATAAAAGGAACTGTCATAATTCAACAAATAAAAGGTAAGCCAGTGGGGAGAAATGGAGGAAAGATATGAACTTAAACTCCATTAAAAAATTACAAATGGCCAATAAGCACATAAAAGACCATCAACGTTATTAGTCACCAGGTATATGCAAATTAAACCCACAATGAGATACCAGTACATATCCACTAGAATGACTAAAAGTTAAAAAGACTGACAATACCAAGTGTCGGTGATGATGTGGAGCAACAAGAATTCTTACGCATTATTGAGACAGCCCCTTTGGAAAATTGTTTGGCAGTGTCTTATGAAGTTAAATATACAATATTTTACAATCCAGGAATTCCACCCCAGGCTTTTACCCAAGATAAATTAAAACAAGGACTTGTACAGTTTCATTCATAACAGCCAAAAATTTGAAACAACTCAAATGTCCAACAGCAGGTGAAAGGTTAAACAAATACAGTATATCCATTCAATGGAATATCACTCAGCAATAAATTAAGACTGAGTTAGACTTTTGTTTCCAGCTATGATGGAGTAATTGGCAGTAGAGAAACTCTTCTGCTTTAAACAATAGAAAACCAACCAAAATACAAGAAACAATGGTTTTCAGACACTGGACAACAGGTAGCACAAGATCAAGATGGCTGAGAGAAGGGAAACTGTAAAATGATAGAAAATACATGTTTTGGTCTCTGTCCCCACCTCTGGCACAGGGCTCCTAAAACCCTTGTAAATGCCTAAGAGGTAAGAGCACTAGGACCATATTTTGTTAATGAGGTGATTCTGGGTGGGCTCCTGGATGGGACTGGTCACTAGAAAGACAAACCATGATTAGAAGCTTGGAATTTTCAGCCCTCCCCACCCCATCCTCCAGAGAGGGAAGAGGGGCTGGAATGGAGTTAATAATTGGTCATGTCTATGTGAGGAAGCCCCCATAAAACCCCAATAGTATAGGATTTGGAGTGCATCCATGCTGGTGAACACCTCCACACCAGGAGGGTGCTGCGTCCCAACTCTAATGGGGACGGAGGCCCCTGCGCTCAGGACCTCCCAGACCATGCCCACGTCTCCTCCATCTGATGTTCATATCCTTTAACAAACTGGTCACATCCTTTATCATATCCTTTAATAAACTGATCCATGTAAGTGTGTCCTGAGTTCTGTGAGCCACTCTAGCAAAGTATTTGAACACGGGAAGGGGGATCAAAGAGAAAAGCCTCTGATTGGAAGTCAGGTGGGGAAGAAGTCATGGGTAACCTGGGGACCTACCTGTGACTGGCACCTGAAGTGGGGTGAGAGCGTTTTTGTGGGGTGAGCTCTTAACCTATGGGATCTGACACTATCTCCAGGCAGGTCGTGTCAGAACTGAGCTAAATTGTAGGACCTCCAGCTGATGTCTCAGAATTGCTTGGTGTGGGGGGAACCCCCACATATGCAGTGACCAGATGTATCCGAAGCTCAGGGCACTGTGCTATTCTGTGTGAGTGAAGGAGACGCACCAGTGAACGACTCACAGGAAGGAGAACAAAGGAGGTGGAGAACAGAGTTCTTCCTGCTTGGGGAGAAACCGAAGTTTGTCCTCACACAGCAACAAACTGACTCTAACTGCTCCTCACTGCCTGGCATCCCCAGACCACAGCACAAGGAGCAGGAACCCCAAAAGAGCCTCTGGGTCTCACTGAGTTAAGGATGTGGAGTACGAGTTTAGGGAAATCAAGGCAGCTAGAATCTGGGGGAAGAATACTTGGAGAGGAAGGAGTTGCACAAAGAGAGTGTTCTAGAGATCTGAAAAAGGGTCCCTCGAGTCTTTGGCTGAATATTGGTCTGTATACCTATACATGTAAGAAACGACCTGTGGCTGGAGAAATAACCACCAGCAGTAAACAAAGTAATCCCTGGAATCTTATGAGGTGAAGGACAATTCCCACCAGCTGGAGTGGAAAAACTTCTAAATACATGGGGCATTAAGCACAATTCTCAGAGAAGTACCGCCTCATCTCTCTACCAATTATTCACTGTGTGATGTCAGACAAGTTGCTTAATCTCTCTCTGCTTACATTTCCTCATCTGTAAGATGGGGTTAATAATGGCACCCATATCATAGTGTTGTCTAAGGATAAAATGAGTTAATAACAGTAAATCACTCAGAACAATGCTTGGCACAAAGAAAGCCCTAAATATGGGTTTATAAAATTAATAAATAAGCCAGACTGATATTTTCAAAATTCAAATCATGCAAATGTCTGAGGAAAGAATGTTCCAGAAAAGGGAACCACAAGTGCAACCTCAAGATTAGGAATGCTATTTGTACGTTCAATAAATCGCATGAGATTGAGAGTAAGAGGAGATGAGGTTAGACCCGTGTAAGCAGCCTGACATACTTGCTGGGACGTGGGACCCACTGAAAGGGTAATTAGCACTAATTTTTTTTAAATGGGACAGTAACACAGCAAAAACTGCTGTGCTGAGAATACTCTGAAGGGCAGCAACAACTGAAGCAGGGAGACCCGTCTAGGCTAGAGATGATAATAATGACTTAATCATAGATCACACTGAGGGTAATAGGAAGTGGTTGGATTCTGGAGGTATTTTGATGGTAGATTCAACAGACTGGATGTTGGGGATAAAAGAAAGAGTTCATAGACAACTCCAAGGATTTGAGCTAAGGATCTAAAAAGATGGAAAACAGGGAAAACCATAGGAGTCACAGGTTTGGAGAAGCCCTGTGGCTCAGACGTGAACTTGCTGAGCTTGAGATGTGTGTTAAGTACCTGAGTGGAGACAGCAAGCAGGCAGTGCAGTGTCTGCTCTGCAGGCTGGGCTAACTAAACGGAGCGTTCAGTACATATTTAAACCCAGTACACTGGATGAGATCACCAGGTAAGTCAGAACAGGGAATAACTAGGAGAGTTTTAAGGACTGAGGCTTAGGGCATACCTTTAAGATGTTGGGTAGAAAACTGGCAAAATCAAGATTGTGGGACACTCTCTAGAGCAAACCACCTAGTTTCTTCAGCAAATACATTGCAGAACAGGAGGCACACAGAGACAGAGACAGAGGAAGGAACTACGGACTTTAAAAAAACAACTTGGAACTTCAATTACTTGTAGTGTACAGAGCTCATTTGGATCCTGGTTCAAGCAAACCATGAAAAACAAAAATACAGCTGGGGAAATGTGAGCCTTGACTGGACTTCTGAAGATTCTAAGGAATTATTGTTAATAGTTTTGTTTGATAATGGAATTGTCACTACATTTTTAAAGCAGTTGTTATCTGTCAAAAGAAGGGTGTTATTTCAAAAACTGCCCCGGTACCCGGGGTTGGGCAAGGAGAAGCCAAAGGAAGAGGCAGGCCACTCCAGATGGGTAGGTGGCAGGGCTGATAAACAAGGGAACTTACTTACGAGCCTTGTCTTGGGCTCGAAGAATACTTGGGGGAAGTATTCTTCCCCCAGATTCTAGCTGCTTTGATTTCCCTAAACTCGCACTCCACATCCTTGACTCAGTGAGACCCAGAGGCTCTTTTGGGGTTCCTGCTCCTTGTGCTGTGGTCTGGGGATGCCAGGCAGTGAGGAGCAGTTAGAGTCAGTTTGTTGCTGTGTGACACGACAAACTTCGGTTTCTCCCCAAGCAGGAAGAACTCTGTTCTCCACCTCCTTTGTTCTCCTTCCTGTGAGTCATTCACTGGTGCGTCTCCTTCACTCACACAGAATAGCACAGTGCCCTGAGCTTCGGATACAAAGTAAGTAGCTCTCCACACCTGCCTGCCAGAATCCTAAAAGTGCACAAAGAAGCCTTAATA